CGTCGAACAGTTTGTCGGTCTCTACCAAGATCAAGGACAGCCAATGCGCATTAGTTAATTGCGCACCATGGATTGGCTCCTGTGGTGATGGTTTCAACGTCTCCCTTGTACATGCTTTTACTAATACATTTCCGTGATAACATCCTTTGTGTGATATGATCTTTAAAGCAATCATAGCATCTTGATACGACGAAGAGGTAATCCACGTTAGGTGCTGACCGCGAGGTGTGACTTCGAAGTCAGCTGTCGGTCACGCCATTCCCGTCTAACTCAAATAGGTCTCCAATCATTTGACATAGATAATCTACGTTGGTGATCTACAACCAATCAACCTATGTCACTACTTTTACATTCCAGATTGTTACCATTTCAATTTCTTTTTTCCAGACAACATAGTTCAGTTATTTGTTGATGTGATTGATCCATCTTGATCTTGTGGTACAGGTCTTACATCAGGGCCGTTAGTCCTTTTCCTAGGGACTTCTCTATGATAGGCAGCAGTGTCTCACTAAATTGATGTTTATCATCTTTTGTGTTATCACTGGAGTGTGTGTATCGCTGGATGACATTTATTGTAATTAGTTACTACTTTGTTTCCGGGCGTGCACCATTGATCTCGAATTTAAAATATTTTCATCTTATGAGACTTTTTCCTGCTTCTTCGGAGAGCATAATCGTAGAATGGTTTCTCGTTTATGGATGGGATATAACAGCATCACTGCTGGGGTTGGTCTCTTTTGTCTAGGTTGTGTCTTCTGGGTTTCACTTGTATTAAGTCAACTCAGGTCATATATTGCCGTCTCTGCGGCTTTCTTATTTACCGGTCCTTTCCTCTACATTGTCCAAGCATCCCACGTACCTATGTTGGTCGTTGCCCTAGTTGTCAGAAGGGACACTAGCTTTGTAGCTGTCAAAGGCTTACGTACTTACTAAAAGACACTGTATATTTTCTAACTAAACACAGGACACAGGGTAAATGGTTTCAAATATTTCTGCAGTCTTTTTCTGGCGAAGTTACTTTTTCAAGGTGCGGTTATTAAACGTACACCTAATCCTCCTCTTCTGCCTGTTCTTCAGAGCAGAACTAGCCCTAAGTAGATGCAGAAAATGCTAGCAAGTTTATAGAAGACTGGGTAGAAAAACTTTACTGAGGCTGCGATTTTTGGATTACAATAAATCCATGAGTAATTTCATACACATAGTTCCCTTTATTATCTTAAATAGAGCAAGAACAAAGATTGGTGCAGAATAATATGAATTCATTTTATTTCGTTAGGTTCTCATCAGCTGCTTACAACCTAAATTATTTAAAATTCAACATTAATACAGATATTGACATATTTATATATAAGAGTGTGATTAAGGATCAATACATGTGTATGATGATGTAGCAAGCAAAGATTCAGATAGAGTTAATGAGCTCATAAAATGTTTGATTCGAATAAATAAATAAAGTTTGAGAGGGAAAGTTCTGGTAACAATAACCCCCACTTTTTCTATTAATTTGCTCTTATTTATTTATTTATTACGTCATTATTGCAACTCTTTCTGAAATATAAATTACATCATACATAACTGATTGATTTCAATTCATATTTTCTTTATTACCATTAATCTATTTTCATGAGTTCTAATCACTATTTCAATGTTCAAGAACTTTCCCTCTCAAACTTTATTTATTTATTCGAATCAAACATTTTATGAGCTCATTAACTCTATCTGAATCTTTGCTTGCTACATCATCATACACATGTATTGATCCTTAATCACACTCTTATATATAAATATGTCAATATCTGTATTAATGTTGAATTTTAAATAATTTAGGTTGTAAGCAGCTGATGAGAACCTAACGAAATAAAATGAATTCATATTATTCTGCACCAATCTTTGTTCTTGCTCTATTTAAAATCCATGAGTGTTCGACACTGGAATACAAACACGTTTTCAAGAATATAATCACTTTATTTCATTCATCTAGCTTTCTCAAGTTACACAGTAATCTCAAAGTGCCAGGAGGTTAGATGGAACCGAAATAAGTGTGTATATTTGTTTGATTAACTCTTAAATACACTAGCTCCACTGAGCCAATCAGACAATGAAGCAAAATACATAAATCTATGTTCTGGTGATACCTCACCAATAAAAGTACAAACAGGCGAGTGCATTAGGCATTCAAAGAACGCGAAGGCATACCAACAGAAGCCAAGTAGTCAGACGTAGAATTCCACATGTCCTCTACTGTAAGATTTCAAAAAAATAATAAGGACTAAAAGACTGGTAAGATGGATACTTCCTTAAAGCAGTGGGGAAAAGTGACTTTGAAAAGTGTGAACTCTATAGAAGCATCTCAATACAATATGTACCATCAACAGTTTCCTGCAGAGTCGCTAAACGAAAAAAAGAATCAGTTGAAGCTTAACACTTTGAGACTGACAAGCTGGCATGCTCAAAGACTGATGGCGTATCGGCTTAAGTGTAGCAATGTGAATCATAGCTGAACAATCAACCGAATGAAACCTAACACTATTTATCAACTCCTTTGATTATGAAAGATCACTCAACACTGTGGATAGAAATATCTTGTGAAGTCTTCTTCGACACTATGGAGTACCTGCGAAAATCATCATCGTCATCATCTTCGTACAGAACTTCTACGAGGACATGAATTGCAAAGTCACTCATTGAGAGTAGCTCACAAATCCATTTCAGGTAAGGAATGATGTTAGACAAGGTTTCCCACTCTAGTCTCTTCTCTTGCTTCTGCTTGTCGAATAGATTACGAGGATATACATACCTCAAGAGGAGCACGGAATATAGTGGACATGGCAACAGACGCAGACGAAGATAGGTAGTGTAACATCAGCTCTTGTGAGAGTAATTCTCAACATTCAGATGGGAATAAGCAACATCCTGAAGTACAATACGACAAGCTTCACATAAATTAAACTTGATAGCGAAGCTTTTGAAGCGATGGAAATTTTTACGTACTTGGGTTAGCATTGTTGATAAACAAGAGGATCTTGATGCAAATGTCAAGGCAGAAACTGTCGAAGCAAGGGCAACATTGCTGTAATTAAAAAATATCTGACACTCAAACGAACTGTCATCGAACTTGGAATTTTCGACACAAAAGTTGAAACGTCTCTACTGTACGCAACTGAATCGTAGGGAACTCCAGGCAACCCTCGTGCTATTGATAGAAGAAATCAGACAAGTAGTGAATAGTTATTTATTTATATCTTCACGCAGTCACGGTGGAGCGTGGGATTATTTGTTCAGACTAACAAAGCCTCTCAACATTCAATATGAGATAATAGGAAATGTAACACATACAAAATAAGGAAGTGAATGAATACTTGAACTATACTTTTTTGGCATATTCTTGTTTGTGTGAGGTCAACTCTTAACCAACCAACCTAAGCTGTTACAGAACTACCACAATCATTACCAAAAAAGCCTTGATATTTCCAAAAGAATTTATTCGCAAGAATTTTTACATTCACTGTCCGAAGGTTATCAGAGATAATCTTATCATGTTTGGTGCAACATACTTCGAGCAACATGAAGTCATTATTATGATTATTATTATTTCAGAATTTTAAAAAGGAAATCTATTTGGTAAAACCTGCTCCACTAGTCTGATTGGCGCATGGAACAGTTGAACTCTCTCATCGGTGCAAAATCATCCGGTGCATATCAGCCTGCTAGATTTCTCTAAGAGATTTCTCAGAATAGGGCACTATCTTTGCTCTCAAAAACTGAATTATACGTAAGTTGGAATCTAATAAAATATCTTAAGAAGGGTATCACAAGCTGTCAAAGTTCGATCTACTTTGTCTGATTGTTTCTCGATGACAAACTAAATTTCATAAGGCTAGATTTTTGAATTATTCTTATTGTTTACCACTTACTAACATACTTCCCCCAACCCTCTAATTCTGCCACGTACGGATTGTTCAAAGTTTTTAAGGAAAATGCTTGACCAAGAATATACCTTAACTCTCATGATGATGGATACAATCGAAATGACTGGACTAACAGAAACCTCATAGATACTAATAAATTCGTTGTCTTTATGATAAAAGCGAAAATACTCAATACACCTCTTGCTCCTTCATGACTTCAGTACTACACTTTCTACGAACGAAAATATCCAGGACATTACTTTCTGCAAGATTCTAGGTGTCCCACCCCTATTCGCAATTCGCAGCTAGCGAATCCCACTCACTTTTTGAGTTTCATCACATACATGAATGCAAGTAGCAGGTTCATGAATAACGGAGGTGCATAGCAGAATCAAAAGCAATTGATCAGGTTATAATGCCCATTTGACGATCAGATATAGATTCGATGGAAGTATAAGGATAATTATCACTATAGGGCTGCGGATAGTGTTGAGTTTAGTTCGATATCATGAATCGACCAATGTTCGACGACCATCAAAAACCTGAAAGCACTGGATGGCCGTCTTGTCGTGATAGGGGACTCCTCAGCAGTGCTCATTCACGACCCCGCACGTGTAACTCAAACCCAGAACCTTCGGGTCCGAACCTCTAGCGCACTGAGCCGGTATTCAACGATGTTAATATCTAACTTCAACCAATCCACGATATTGCGCTGCCGTCCACCATTGTCTTCAGTGAGTTACTACCTCACAACGGAACTGGTTGAACTTTACTGGTTATGGCTCCCCTCTAGAAATCCAGGAAATGCCTCTTGAAGCCAGGTTTTCAATGGTGATCTAGCACTGATCCATTCATGATATCAATAAAATTAATTGCTCCGAGTAGGTTGTAGGACTTCCTAAAGGACGGAATGGTATCGGCACGTTCTCCTAAATTTCCCCCAATGAGTTTGGATTATTGCTTTAGTTTCTTAGGCATTGAGATTGATTACTACAGGTGTCGTTCCATGATCACTTCTTTTGTTAGTTAATTTGTTCTCATCCTATAGTTTCTATAAAAAATGACAGCAACCTTACTTCTCTATTAACGAGAATGTTTCCCCACTACCCAGCTGCAATTATTGAAGGAATAAACAGTTCATTAATCCTCTCTAGCAAAGTTTTAGGTTTGAAGATTCGTTTGGCTGCAACACTATTTAAAAGACCCTCATTCGGCGGGATAGTTGATGTATTGATGTCTATAACCAGGGGACCTGTTAATGTTCACAAGAAGGGGCTAACTTCGGCAGTTTATGATGTCCATGGACGGTAAGACTTTATGTTTTGGCCGTATGTAGTGTTCTTCAGCCGTATAGTTACTGGTGGATCAGATGGGAAAATCAAAATCTTCGAGTCACTTGATGACGCTTGTCCAGTGGAACACATCGTTGGAGAAAAAATCAATGCTATTGCTTGCCGAGTAGGTATTTGGCAATAATTTTAACTTCGGAATAGTATGAAAACGTCATTGTTGCTACTGAGGGAACTTACGTCCACATTCTTCAGATGGAAGATGGCCTTCCTGATGGTGTGGCTACCCGTTTTACTGCAGAAGTCAACCATTTAGCCATAAACAAAGACCTTAGTAAGATAGCTTTATGCAGTAGGTAGGATATCGCTTCACTTGGTTTATATTAGTAGTGATTTCTCAGTCAAGGTTGTGGATCTTTCCGGTCATGATAATGACCGGGAATTGGTTTTCAAGGGACATCAAGGAGCTGTTCTGAGTGTGGCTTTTGATCCTCTCGATGTATTCGTAGCCTCTGCTTCATGCGATGGCAGTGTCCGTCTCTGGGATTTAATAATTGGGGAGGAAAAAAAGTGCATTTATACACTTGCGAAATGTAATGATCCTCTCTTTGCTCCAAGTTCCTGTAGATTATGCTGGGAGAGCACAGTTGGGAAGGTTTGTTCATTTCCATTCATGTTCGATTTACCAGTTTTTACTCGTGCCGGTTGATAAAGAAATCAAAATGTTTGAACGAGTGTGCTGGAGTTTGCTTTGCTCCCTATCCTGCCCTTCAGTCACTCGTGCATACAATATATGCGCTTCTTCACGGGATGGCAATCTTATTTCAGGTGGATCATTAGATGGGTGGATTATTGTTTGGCGTGTTGAAGACAGACAAGCAATTCATCGGTATGATATTTCGTGTGTCTAACATACCTATTAAAATATTGGTTAGACCATTATTTATTTATTTATTTTAACACGTAGACATTGGTACAAGGAGGCACCAAATACATATGCGCCACACAAATCCCATTCGATATGTATGAGGGCTGTGATACTGCCCGGGTGCCCAAACCGAAGCAGGTGGTCTTCTTAGGGGGCCACTCCCCGAGCCTTCGACCTGAAAGTCTGATCCACAAGGCAGTGGAGCATCGTAAGGAGATGCAGTTTCATGGAAGCCGGTGACCAACAGTTGGTTCATACGCCATTTGTTCCCGCAGGATACTGGAGCCCATGTGCACCATTGGTTTGTGATCCGGTTAAAGCGCCGGACATTCGCTTTTTGTCCTCTCATTTTCGTAAACAACACCCCCCTCGCCACGAGAAGGCAGTGAGTTGGACTTCCCCGGCAGAGGCTGTATACACGCGGCCGTGTGAGAGTATTTCGAGAGGGAGAGCGGACTCTCCCCACTCTCGGCCGTACCAGGGCATTTGGGCAACGCTAAAATGACCTTGGTATGTCCACCTACTTACCAGGGTTAAATAAGGGTTATATATTAGTGTGAGGAATTAAGGTTAGGATTTACAGTTGAATGTTAGGGTCAAGAATTAGATTTGATGTTATCATCACGAACTGACACCATCTATAATGCCAAAATGGTATTTGGCCGAATGACTAAACGAATTTCGCTTCAAGATCTATCTTAAATGTGATTGGTTTGATCATGAATTATGGTCTCGCCAAAATCTTCGTAAGTTTAAGTACTCATCCAGCTGGTTGGTCACTTTCTTTCTGCTTTATATATTGTTGTTGGCTGTCACTAAACATATACCGTAACATTACTGGACCGATAGACCTATGATTGCCGAGCTACGTATTTGGATAACTGCTTTAAGACAAGTAGTCTTAACTCAATTTCCAACGATGAATCTCGGCGCTATGAATCTACTGTTCATAGCTGTGGTCCGTATCCAAACACAAAGTTAGTAGTTAAATTACTTCTTACGGAGGTATATATAGGCGGCTACCGGGAATCTTCGTCATTTTGTTGCACGTCTGTAAAAGAATCCAAACATGCCTAGGATTAGGCGAAAAGGTGACCCACGTTATCCAACATGGTCGGAGAGAAATGTAAATAGATCGACAATAAGCCCCACTATTGGCTTTCTCGTGGACTCGGGTCGTTCGATCAGAACAGCCTTCATGTTCAGATTTATTCACGTGGTTTTTCCTTCTAATTTGTTACGTTTTTCTAAATGCTTGATTATTATTCACTTTACGACACTACGTCAGTATGTTTAGTAATCGCTCGAAATTAGTAATTTATTTCCTGACTTTTCAGTGCTATTCGGAATTGACATACTGAATAACTTTCAAATTTTTTGTTAATAGTATTCGTGATCCGTCTCATAGTCGGATTTGTAGCTTATTTTGGCATCCTCTTGACAAAAATCTTCTATTCGCGAACGAAAATGGATCTGTGGGACTTGTTCACTCTCCAGACCATCAGGTATTTCTTTCTATTGTTTTAAATATTATTAGTGCCAGTATTGGATCTACCAAAATTCGTTTCAGCAGTTGACAATTCTCAAAATTAAAGATGTTGAATATCAGCTACCTATTTAAACCCATGTTATCAACCACAAGAAAGCGAAAACTGTCATAAGTTCCAAGGAAATGGTTTTGATAGGATTCATTCTTGTTACCCTAATTGATAATGACAAAATGTTTAGGGGTGGTTTTTCTGTGTCCAGAATATTGCTCTAAACTAGTCTGCGCTGGTGTTTTGTTTGAGTATTGGTAGCGAAATAGTTTAGCGTATTGTTTACCCCATTTACTTTGCAACTAATTAAATTTGGGCTTGTAAAATCTTGACCCATTCATAACAATTGTTAGCACCATGATGTATTATATAACAGTTACAGGAAACTTAAGAATATCTGTCATTAGATGAAGATGCAGTGCAGAACTTTGCATGAGGTTATGGAGCATGACTCGTAAAAAGAAAAAAACCAAACTACTGATATTTGATTAGTATCACAGGTGAAAAAATCGTGAGACGCTGAGATAAATATTGGGTTTACTTGGTTAAAGGGAGGAAATCAATAAAGGCCACTAAACATCCAGCATTTAAAAGTCCAGAGCAACTGCATATGTACAATTGCGATTGTTTTCGAAACGTGTCGTGTTGGTTTTCTAACTGCTAAGTATCCCAGTTAATCATAGTTTAGCAGTCATATGTTTTAAGTTCCTTAAATGTCTTTAAGTTACGTAATAATAAATTTCACGTGTTTTATTTCGATGTGTAAAATTCAAACTACACTTGTTTTAAGTTTAATGGTGTATTCTCAAATAGTACCATTTTGATTAATATCAAACGCTTCTTTGTGAAAGTACACTGAGAACCTCATGGTCTCGTGACCATGTTTTGTGTGATTTCTTTATACTAACATTTTTAAAATGGTATATCTATCTGTTGGTGCTGTTTTTTGTCGTTCTAATTCTCCAAGCCTTCTAGAGATTCATTGTCTCCAAATAGAATAGCTCAGTTAATGGGTTGTGATGAAGATGGTGATACTGCCGATCTTTTAAATGCTGCTGCAGCTCAGGCGGAATCTAGCAGACTTTTAGCTGACGACGATGTCATCCCCCACTCAAACGAGGATGATAGTAATTCTGATTCCATTGATCTATCTCGAATCAAGTCCGACTACATGTCACTCAATGATGAAGCTGAGGAGAAACAAGCCCCTGCAAAAATAGAAACCAAAGCGACTGTTCTTACTACAGAAGATAATATATGTCCAAAAAAGGATAACGTCACAATCCAACCTTTGCAGAAGGCTTTCCAGTCAGGTGCAACACCACTTGGTGAGCAAAAAGTATTTTTGGTGTAGTTTGGGTGAAAAAACGACCATAGGAACATGCCTTCCTTAGGTGGTTCTATGGATTTGGGCAAACAGTGGCATCAAGTGTATTTGTTTATATGTTTGATTTTAAAACTTACAATATGTAAAGGCTTCACATAGTTATGTGAATATTTCTTTTTATCTAAATTCAAATCAAGTCCTGTAAAAATACTCGTATACATAGATTAATAATACCAATCGTCTAGAGACTTGATATCGCCATTTAATATCCCTTTAATCTCCTTCATATTCTTTTGATTTTATTGGTGTGACCAAATGCCTTTAGTTCGGGACTACATGACAATCGGAACCATTATATCAATGAAACATGCATATTACCAGTTTTCTAATTGTCCTTAGAAACTGATAATATTGTATACTTTGTATTAAATTGAGATTTGATAAAAATGAACTCACTAGTGAACTTTCTACTTTAATATTGTGTAAAAAGATATTGTTTCTTACCTCAGATAAAAAGTACGGCAGCTGTACATGGAAAAGCATATGTTGTTTTCTGTATTTACTTATCCAAAAACAGCATATAATACTCCCAGGAACTGGAATCATGTTATTAATCACGCGAACAAATACCTTTGTTTCCGTCGGTCATCTTAAGAGTCTTATTATTTTTTTTTAGATAAGATGTAAAGTCAAACTAAGATATCTGACCCCCTAAGCTGTTTCATCAATAAATACTAACTGTATGTATTAGTCAAAATATGTGACGTTGTATATTTGATTTTTTTTCACTGGATTTTATATCGCGTTTTATTTTTTATCTATTTTTCAACGTCAGGTTTTCGCGAACGTTTCATGGTATGGAATAGAATTGGTATCGTGACACAGTTCAGGGATACTGCTGAATATCAGTCAGAGGATGATGCATCGAATCAGTTTTCTGGAGGAAGTATAGAAGTAGAATTTCATGATAATAGTTTACATCATAGTTTGCGGTTATCCAATAGTTCGGGTTACTCTATGGCGGATCTAAGTTTAACTGCCTTGTTGCTAGCATCTAAAGTATGTTGTTCACTTAGGGATGGATTTCATTATTATCATTATTATTTCTGAGTCATCCAAAACTTATTGTAATATTGAAATGATAGAGGATGTTTATAGTACAAGACGAGGATTTCGATGGTGTTTTTTAGCTGGACTGTTTAACAGTGGAGATTTCATTGTCTTTCTTGACATCATCAGCACATACTCCGATAAGAAGTCCTATTGTATTTTTGATAGTTATCAAAGTAATGATGATCAAAATCGGAAATGTATTTCTTTGTGTACGAAACAGTATCTGTCAGCTTTAGACTGATCTAAAATGTGAACTATTTATTTATTTGAACACATAAATATTGGTACAAGAGGGCGCCAATATATATGCGCCACACAAAACAATGAGAATTCGAAGAGAAAAGAAAAAAAGGTAAGGAGCGTAAAAAAAGAGAACAATAACGGAGAGATTGGTGTAAGGTAGTGTGGTAGTAATGAGGGAACGGAAAGGTACAATCAGAAGAAACCCTTCAGTTAAGGAAGACACAACCACTTTTTATGAAGAAAGTAAAAGAAGGTTACAACAGGATCGCCACTGGCTTATATTCTGAGCCATATCTGATAATGTCTCTAGCCACTGTGTTGCACCATCTCTCGGACCCCAACCAGGGAGTCGTGAAGGACCAACACAAGCCAGCCCTTTGCAGCTTTCTTTCATACCACGACACCATGTCATGCACTGACCATCTCTCCGCTTCTTCCAACCAGTCCCAGAGTCGGCAAATAATGCACGACGTGGAATTCTCTGGGACGACATTCGGAGAACATGTCCAAGCCACCGAAGTCGGTGTTTCAAGATGGTGACACCAATTGAATTATCATCTCTGTGCCCGAACACACGATGCCGAACCTCTGCATTACTGACATGATGTTGCCACTGCATGTCAGCAATCCTTCGGAGACAACGATGATCGAACACAGAAAGTCGTCTAACGTCCTCAACTCGGAGAGGCTAGGTTTCACAAGCATAGAGCAAAACTGCTCTCACCGACGCGTTGTAGATCCGACCTTTTACAGCCAGACTAACATCACGAAGGCGCCAAAGGTGGCCCAGATTGGCATAAGCCGCTATGGCTTTCACTATACGTGCATTGATCTCATCACTCACACCCCCACCAGCACTTATGCAGCTACCCAGATACACAAACTTCTCGACTACTTCTATTTGCTCACCATCCAGGGTGAGTACAGGATTGGAATCCTGCCAGTCTTGTAGAAGTACTTTGCACTTCGAAGGTGCAAAGCACATACCGTACCTACGGACACTGGTTGCCAACTGATTAAGTGCGGATTGCATGCCTTGGGCATTATTGCACAGTAAGACAATATAACCCGCATACTCAAGGTCGAGAAGTCTTTCTCCAGGCAACAGATCCACACCGCCATTACTCACATCCATTAGAGCTGTTTCCAGAATGTCATCGATGGCAAAGTTGAAGAGGAAAGCCCCCTGAATGCCCTGGTACGGCCGAGAGTGGGGAGAGTCCGCTCTCCCTCTCGAAATACTCTCACACGGCCACGCGTATATAGCCTCTGCCAGGGAAGTCCTACTCATTGCCTTCTCGTGGCGGGGGTGTTGTTTACGAAAATGAGAGGACGAGAAGCGAATGTCCGGCGCTTTAACCGGATTCCAAACCAATGGTGCACATGGGCTCCAGTATCCTGCGGGAACGAATGGCGTATGAACCAATCGTTGGTCACCGGCTACCATGGGACTGCATCTCCTTACGATGCTCCACTGCCTTGTGGGTTAGACCTTTAGGTCAAAGGCTCGGGGAGTGGCCCCCTAAGATAACCACCTGCTTCGGTTTGGGCACCCGGGCAGTATCACAGCCCACACACAAATGATGAACTGTTTATGTCTATGGAAACTACTTTTGTCGCTTTGAAAAACAATCAATTGATTCAAATTATGATCACTTCAATTATTGTCATTATTAATACTAATATTATTATTACTACTATTATTGTCATTATTGTTATTATTATCATTATTATTATTATTTTCCACATTATTCACCTTCTTTTATACTTATACAGCGGCTCGTCTTTGGTGGAATTCCGACTGTATCTAAACGTTCTCGAGTCACTGTCCGGTTTAAAATTGTATGTTATCACCGAATACGAGGACTGAAGCAGATTTTCTGAAACCACGTGCATCATTCAAACTGGCTGCCTTCAACGTTCGCACATTTATGCAGGTCGGACAACAGATAGGGCTGGCTATGTCTTTGGAAAGTCTTAATATCGACGTGTGTTGTCTATCCGAGACCCGTATTCAAGACTCTGGCGAAGTACTACAAATTCGATCTCCATCTGTCGCTTCGAAAAGCTTGTTATACGTGCGCTTATCCGGGGACCCTGTGGCATCTTCGTCTGGTTTTGCTGGCGTTGGTGTCGCACTAAGCGCTAGAGCCGAGGCAGCACTAGTCGATTGGATCCCCATTAACAGTCGGTTATGTGCTGTTAGATTAGAAAGTTCCATCAAAGTGAGAAGAAATCGGCGTGAGAAACGATGTCTTTTCGTCATCTACGCCTATGCCCCGACAGATTGCAGCCCGGATGCAATCAAGGATGAGTTTTACCACCAGTTATCAGTTCTTCTCCAGAAAGTGCGTTCGACAGATATTGTAGTACTAGCCGGAGACTTGAATGCTCAGGTCGGGCGTCTAGGCACAGAAGAGAGTCGTTTAGGTGGCCGATGGGGACTCGTTGGTTGCAGGTCAGATAACGGGGACCGTCTACTGCAACTTTGCACAGACCACGACCTGTTTCTGGCTAGCACTAACTTTCGGCACAGTCATCGCCGATGTGCCACCTGGCGTCCTCCCTCTGCATCTCAAGCCTGGACTCAGATTGATCACATCGCGATCAGCTACAACTGGCGTGGTTGTGTACAAGACTGCCGCTCCTTTTGGAGTACCTATCTGGACTCTGACCATGCCTTGGTCTGCGCCAATCTTGCCTTACTTTTCAGTGGACAACGAAGTGACCGCCATCAACGGATTGATGTTAGCAAGCTGGTTGCAACTTCTGTTGCAAGTAAGTATCGAACCGAGCTAGCCTCTAGGCTAGCTACCACTCCACCGAAAAGTATAGATGAGCATTGGTTGCAATTGCATGACGCCATGAAAATGGCGGGAACAGTCAGTTGTGGGTTTGCGAAACGTCCCGCTTTTAAGCACTGGGTTTCTTCAGGCTCCTTACAACTCATTGAAGCCCGTCGGTCTACTCCGGGTAACCGTGAGTTTGACCATAAACGAAGGTTTTTACGTAAGGAAATCGGGCAAAGCTTGCGTAAGGACCGAGAAGCCTGGTGGTCGAAGCGTGCTAATGAGCTGGAAGCAGCAGCTGCATCTGGTAACTACCGGAAGCTCTTCCAACTCATCCGAGCCACTGGCAGCAAGAAGTCTGGTGTGAGTGAAACAATCTGTGGGGATGATGGGATGCCAATCACAAACATCCATCGACGTCTTGGACGATGGGCAGAATTTTTCGAAGGGCAGTTCAACTGGCCTGCTGCTCCGGTAACATCGGTCAGACTGTACTGCCCTCCATGGTCGGTGACGACTGATCCACCAAATGAGGCGGAAGTCCACAAGGAACTCCAACTCTTGAAGCGTTACAAACCACCTGGCCCAGATGACTTACCTCCGGCTCTTTTTAAAGATGGTGGTGACTTTTTGACTAAGGAATTGACGACGTTGTTTACAAAGGTTTGGGAACTAGAGAGTGTACCAACGTCATGGAATGAGTCGATAGTTGTCCCTATCTTTAAAAAGGGTTCACGTCGTTCTTGTAACAACTATCGGGGGATAAGTTTACTTCCGATTGCGTCCAAGCTATTGGCTTCCGTCATTCTTCGTAGGTTGTTCAAAACCCGAGAAAGATTGACTCGCGAGGAGCAGGCTGGGTTTCGTTCTGGTCGAGGATGTATTGATCATATCTTCACCCTCCGCCAAAAGTTAGAACACCGCCATACTTTTCAAAGGCCAACAATCGTAGTGTTTCTTGACATCAGGGCTGCCTTCGATTCGTTGGATAGGACTGTTCTCTGGGATTGTTTATTGAAGAAGGGTGTGCCTGAGAAGTTTATTAACATCCTAAAAGCCCTATATAAAAACACCTCAGACAGAGTGAGGGCATACAACCACCTCTCTCCATTGTTCCATTCGAGCAGTGGGGTTAGACAGGGTTGCCCAATTTCACCATTCCTCTTCAACTTTGCCATCGATGACATTCTGGAAACAGCTCTAATGGATGTAAGTAATGGCGGTGTGGATCTGTTGCCTGGAGAAAGACTTTTCGACCTTGAGTATGCGAGTTATATTGTCTTACTGTGCAATAATGCCCAAGGCATGCAATCCGCACTTAATCAGTTGGCAACCAGTGTCCGTAGGTACGGTATGTGCTTTGCACCTTCGAAGTGCAAAGTACTTCTACAAGACTGGCAGGATTCCAATCCTGTACTCACCCTGGATGGTGAGCAAATAGAAGTAGTCGAGAAGTTTGTGTATCTGGGTAGCTGCATAAGTGCTGGTGGGGGTGTGAGTGATGAGATCAATGCACGTATAGTGAAAGCCATAGCGGCTTATGCCAATCTGGGCCACCTTTGGCGCCTTCGTGATGTTAGTCTGGCTGTAAAAGGTCGGATCTACAACGCGTCGGTGAGAGCAGTTTTGCTCTATGCTTGTGAAACCTAGCCTCTCCGAGTTGAGGACGTTAGACGACTTTCTGTGTTCGATCATCGTTGTCTCCGAAGGATTGCTGACATGCAGTGGCAACATCATGTCAGTAATGCAGAGGTTCGGCATCGTGTGTTCGGGCACAGAGATGATAATTCAATTGGTGTCACCATCTTGAAACACCGACTTCGGTGGCTTGGACATGTTCTCCGAATGTCGTCCCAGAGAATTCCACGTCGTGCATTATTTGCCGACTCTGGGACTGGTTGGAAGAAGCGGAGAGATGGTCAGTGCATGACATGGTGTCGTGGCATGAAAGAAAGCTGCAAAGGGCTGGCTTGTGTTGGTCCTTCACGACTCCCTGGTTGGGGTCCGAGAGATGGTGCAACACAGTGGCTAGAGACGTTATCAGATATGGCTCAGAATATAAGCCAGTGGCGATCCTGTTGTAACCTTCTTTTACTTTCTTCATAAAAAGTGGTTGTGTCTTCCTTAACTGAAGGGTTTCTTCTGATTGTACCTTTCCGTTCCCTCATTACTACCACACTACCTTACACCAATCTCTCCGTTATTGTTCTCTTTTTTTACGCTCCTTACCTTTTTTTCTTTTCTCTTCGAATTCTCATTGTTTTGTGTGGCGCATATATATTTGGCGCAATCTTGTACCAGTACGTATATGTTCAAGTAATTGAATTTTATCAGGGGTTGCTGTAAGACGTAGTTTTCTTCTCATTTAATGCAGCCCATAATTGTTGCGAATTTTTTCGCATAGGAGTTTAAAAGCAAATATAGGACAAAAATAGGCTGATTTAAATTCAAACATTCTTCAATATTCATTTTTCAAAGTTTATTTGTTTCAGGTTCATGATTTTAATTATATGGTAACTTGAAGCAATGCATATATGTGTCTCGTCCTACTTTGTATATAACTGACTGAATGAGTCGGCTTTTAATGTTAATGTAGAATCAAGTCACCAATTTTCTAGTTTATTTTGATATCTTATGTAAAAAGATAATTTATTCATGCTCTAATTTACTTTTTCATAATGTTTAGGGTTCAGACGACCCCAATCTGGATGATTTGAATGGTGATGAGCAAAATGAATTATATGACCTCAGTCGCATCTCAATATTACCACTCGATGTTGGCAGTTCAAACATCGGAGATGCCTCTGTAGAATGGACTACAACTCTCCCACCTGGCGAATTATGTGATGCAGTTTGCTTAGTTACTGAAGAGGGTAATGATAAAACTGAAAGTCCTGGTTATGCTGTTGTCGCTACCTCAAAGTGCCTGCTGCGCATTTTTACCCAACCTTCCCCATCTTCATCCGTGGCACATTCGAGTAATTTACGTTTGCTTCAGATAAATAAGCTAGGTTTGCCACCCATTAGTCTCTCTGGTCACCACACTGTTGTCTTAGCAAGTCATCCTAATAATCCTATTTTGGCTGTGGTAACTTGTAATGTAGTAGGAGAATTAGAATGGAGAGTGTTTTACTTGGGAGGAATTATGCTCGGATCCAACCGGACTGCAGCTCCACTATGGATGAAAAGTTCCTTATCTATCTGGCAACATTTGCCACTTAGTCCTCCGTTAAAACATACCTCCCTTGACACTTCAGTAGTTCGCTTAACTTGGTTTGGATTCTCTGATACTGGAGGATTGTTTACATATGACTCTAATGGAGTTGTACGACGCCTTATTCATGGCCGTTCGCGAAGACACCCAGAATTTCATTGGGTTCCTATTTGTGATACAAGAAGTTTATTAAAGCAAAACAATAGGCGAACAGATAATTATTTCGTTGTTGGTGTCCTAGAATCTTGTGAATCTGTAGAAAATTTGTCTTCTGAAAATAAAAAGGATTTGAAGTCCAATGTCGTTGGGTTTGGTCAGCTCCAAGCAATTTACTGTAAAGCCTCAAAATGGCCAAGAGTTTTTCCACGACCTGTGGTGTCAAATATATCCTTCCGTCTACCTTTATGTTCAATGAATACTGATCAAAGTGATTTGGAGGTTAGTTTTACAAGTACTTGTGAATTATAAAGTGTTATGTTTATTACTTTCTACCGTTTAAAGTCAGTATAATGAGGTCAAATATGCCGAATGAACAATTAGCTTAGGGTATCGTATCGACTATAACTTTCCTCATTACAGTTGCAGCGTGACGTGGCAATCTAAATAAATCTTGATTGGATCATGTTGCCCAACTGCTTTTTGTACATTAATTATATCTCTCACTAATATAATGGGATTTATGGCTTATTTTAATCGGTAAACTACCAGTCTAGTCCCTCTTCATTGATTTTATAACTTTGGTAAGCTTACTAAACTTGAGAGAGCCTAACAAGTGAAGCTAAAAGTACTCATCTTTGTCGTTTAAAGTTAAGATTGTCGTAGTATCTACAACTGCCAGCAGTCAAGATATTAGTAACACTAAAAAGTTTGTAGCAATACAAAGCTTAGAAACTTTAAAATGTCAAAAGGAAAATCATTTAACAGAAGTGAAAATGATCTAAAGAAGCAATTCAAACATCATGGCAAAGATATATTTCATCCATTCCAAGTATCTTAATGTTTTTAAAAAAGGCACAATATAAAATTGCATCAAGATCGCCATATCTGACAACATTCCAAGCTATTGAGTTCTAAGGCTTTTAGTACCCTATCTGAGGGTTTGTGTTTCGGCAAATACTAATCCAACACACCCGTCCATCATTCCACGACTTCATGTCATACGTTTAACAACCATTCTGCTATTCTCACTGAAATAATATGCGTAGGATGTGTTTAACCTTTAAAAGCCTACATTCCAATTATTCACTATGTCAAACAGATATTATTGGACCTCAGCATTGCTTTCACGGTTTTTCTAGCGAACGCAACTGGTGTATGGGAACAAAGACCGGACTCAAAGTATCCAGATTTACTTAACTAGGAGATGGACTAGGATTAGCAACCACAAAAATGACTACTCTCACAAAAGTTTTATATACCTAAAATTATCAGATTTATAAAGATTTTTGCCAGAAATTCGGCGTGTTATTCATCACAAGTTAAACCATTTTTGAACTGACGTATTTATTTAGTATTACATTGGTATAAGTTTCTCCTAGTGTACCATTGACTTTGATTAGGTTCTTTAATAATTATTGATAAAGCCACTTTCTCATCAACGAGAAATAAATATTTATTATATCACTAAAAGAAAGCTAGGTGGCGGCCAAACCAACTCATTGAGTAACTGATTATTGGACTAATCCGCGTGAGTAGATGCAATCCACCTGACTGGGATCTGTGTAATAATCGTAACAAACGATAGAGATTTTGAGTGGACTGTTGAAAATCGCTCTCAATAACTCAGGTGCATTCAAGTTTTGTTTTCCCTTAGATCTTAAGTTTCTGAATTATCTTATACTTGTTTTGATTATTCTACTAATTCACATTTTCTTAACAAATCATATTTCCTGTTTTCTATAACCACTAACACTACTACTCTGGGATTTGTCTTGACAATTTCATATCACTGTGGTGATATGGTGTGACAATTTGAACCGATGCACATATGTGACAGATTCTCCGTTAAGTTTGACCAAATGACATCCATCTATAGACCTTCTATATGTTTGATAGTTTTTTCGTTTTAGTTAAAATGAATCAGGGAAGTCTTACTCATTGCCTACTCGTGGCGGGGGTGTTGTTTACGAAAATGAGAGGACGAAAAGCGAATGTCCGGCGCTTTAACCGGATTCCAAACCAATGGTGCACATGGGCTCCAGTATCCTGCGGGAACAAATGGCGTATGAACCAATCGTTGGTCACCGGCTACCATGGGATTGCATCTCCTTACGATGCTCCACTGCCTTGTGGGTTAGACCTTTAGGTCAAAGGCTCGAGGAGTGGCCCTCTAAGATAACCACCTGCTTCGGTTTGGGCACCTGGGCAGTATCACAGCCCACACACAAATGATGAACTCTCTATGTCTATGGAAATTACTTTTCTCGCTTTGAAAAACAATCAATTGATTCAAATTATTATCATTACAATTATTGTCATTATTATTATTATTATTATTATTATTATTGTTATTGTTATTATTATTATTATTGTTATTGTTATTATTATTATTATTATTGTTATTGTTATTGTTATTATTATTATTATTATTATTATTATTATTATTATTGTTATTATTATTATTATTGTTATTATTATTATTATTATTATTATTATTATTACTGTTATTGTTATTATTATTATTATTGTTATTATTATTATTATTATTGTTATTATTATTATTATTATTATTATTATTATTCACATTATTCACCCTCTTTTATACTTATACAGCGGCTCATCTTTGGTGGAAATTCGACTGTATCTAAACGTTCTCGAGTTACTGTCCGGTTTAAAATTGTATGTTACCACAGAATATGAGTACTGAAGCAGTTTTTCTGAAACCACGTGCACCATTCAAACTGGCTGCCTTCAACGTTCGCACACTTATGCGGGTCGGACAACAGATAGGGCTGGCTATGTCGTTGGAAAGTCTTAATATTGACGTTTGCTGTCTATCCGAGACCCATATTCAAGACTCTGGTGAAGTACTACAAATTCGCTCTCCATCTGTCACTTCAAAAGGCTTCTTTTACGTGCGTTTATCCGGGGACCTTGTGGCATCTTCATCTGGTCGTGCTGGCGTTAGTGTCGCACTAAGCGCTAGAGCTGAGGCGGCACTAATCGATTGGATCCCCATTAACAGTCGGTTATGTGCCGTTAGATTAGAAAATTCCATCAAAGTGAGAAGAAATCGGCGTGAGAAACGATGTCTTTTCGTCATCTACGCCTACGCGCCGACAGATTGCAGCCCGGATGCAATCAAGGATGAGTTTTACCACCAGTTATCTGTTCTTCTCCAGAAAGTGCGTTCGACAGATATTGTAGTACTAGCCGGAGACTTGAATGCTCAGGTCGGGCGTCTAGGCACAGAAGAGAGTCGTTCAGGTGGCCAATGGGGACTCGTTGGTTGCAGGTCAGATAACGGGGACCGCCTACTGCAACTTTGCACAGACCACGACCTGTTTCTGGCTAGCACTAACTTTCGGCACAGTCATCGCCGATGTACCACCTGGCGTCCTCCCTCTGCATCCCAAGCCTGGACTCAGATTGATCACATCGCGATCAGCTACAACTGGCGTGGTTGTGTACAAGACTGCCGCTCCTTTTGGAGTACTTATCTGGACTCTGACCATGCCTTGGTCTGCGCCAATCTTGCCTTACTTTTCAGTGGACAACGAAGTGACCGCCATCAACGGATTGATGTTAGCAAGCTGGTTGCAACTTCTGTTGCTAGTAAGTATCAAACCGAGCTAGGTTCTAGGCTAGCTACCATTCCACCGAAAAGTATAGATGAGCATTGGTTGCAATTGCATGACGCCATGAAAATGGCAGGTACAGTCAGTTGTGGGTTCGCGAAACGTCCCGCTTATAAGCACTGGGTTTCTTCAGGCTCCTTACAACTCAGTGGAGCCCGTCGGTCTACTCCGGGTGACCGTAAGTTTGACCAGAAACGAAGGATGTTACGTAAGGAAATTGGGCAAAGCTTGCGTAAGGACCGAGAAGCCTGGTGGTCGAAGCGTGCTAATGAGCTGGAAGCAGCAGCTGCATCTGGTAACTGCCGGAAGCTCTTCCAACTCATCCGAGTCACTGGCAGCAAGAAGTCTGGTGTGAGTGGAACAATCTGTGGGGATGATGGGATACCAATCACTAACATCTATCGACGTCTTGGACGATGGGCAGAATTTTTCGAAGGGCAGTTCAACTGGCCTTCTGCTCCGGCAACATCGGTCAGACTGTTCTGCCCTCCATGGCCGGTGACGACTGATCCACCAAATGAGGCGGAAGTCCGCAAGGAACTCCAACTCTTGAAGCGCTACAAACCACCTGGCCCAGATGACTTACCTCCGGCTCTTTTTAAAGATGGTGGTGACTTTTTGACTAAGGAATTGACGACGTTGTTTACAAAGGTTTGGGAACTAGAGAGTGTACCAACGTCATGGAATGAGTCGATAGTTGTCCCTATCTTTAAAAAGGGTTCACGTCGTTCCTGTAACAACTATCGGGGGATAAGTCTACTTCCGATTGCGTCCAAGCTATTGGCTTCCGTCATTCTTCGTAGGTTGTTCAAAACCCGAGAAAGATTGACTCGCGAGGAGCAGGCTGGGTTTCGTTCTGGTCGAGGATGTATTGATCATATCTTCACACTCTGCCAAATGTTAGAACACCATCATACTTATCACATGTCTACAATCGTAGTGTTTCTTGACATCAGGGCTGCCTTCGATTCGTTGAACAGGACTGTTCTCTGGGATTGTCCACTGGAGGAGGGTGTGCCTGAGAAGTTTATTAACATCCTAAAAGCCCTATATAAAAACACCTCAGACAGAGTGAGGGCATACAACCACCTCTCTCCATTGTTCCATTCGAGCAGTGGGGTTAGACAGGGTTGCCCAATTTCACCATTCCTCTTCAACTTTGCCATCGATGACATTCTGGAAACAGCTCTAATGGATGTAAGTAATGGCGGTGTGGATCTGTTGCCTGGAGAAAGACTTTTCGACCTTGAGTATGCGGGTTATATTGTCTTACTGTGCAATAATGCCCAAGGCATGCAATCCGCACTTAATCAGTTGGCAACCAGTGTCCGTAGGTACGGTATGTGCTTTGCACCTTCGAAGTGCAAAGTACTTCTACAAGACTGGCAGGATTCCAATCCTGTACTCACCCTGGATGGTGAGCAAATAGAAGTAGTCGAGAAGTTTGTGTATCTGGGTAGCTGCATAAGTGCTGGTGGGGGTGTGAGTGATGAGATCAATGCACGTATAGTGAAAGCCATAGCGGCTTATGCCAATCTGGGCCACCTTTGGCGCCTTCGTGATGTTAGTCTGGCTGTAAAAGGTCGGATCTACAACGCGTCGGTGAGAGCAGTTTTGCTCTATGCTTGTGAAACCTAGCCTCTCCGAGTTGAGGACGTTAGACGACTTTCTGTGTTCGATCATCGTTGTCTCCGAAGGATTGCTGACATGCAGTGGCAACATCATGTCAGTAATGCAGAGGTTCGGCATCGTGTGTTCGGGCACAGAGATGATAATTCAATTGGTGTCACCATCTTGAAACACCGACTTCGGTGGCTTGGACATGTTCTCCGAATGTCGTCCCAGAGAATTCCACGTCGTGCATTATTTGCCGACTCTGGGACTGGTTGGAAGAAGCGGAGAGATGGTCAGTGCATGACATGGTGTCGTGGCATGAAAGAAAGCTGCAAAGGGCTGGCTTGTGTTGGTCCTTCACGACTCCCTGGTTGGGGTCCGAGAGATGGTGCAACACAGTGGCTAGAGACATTATCAGATATGGCTCAGAATATAAGCCAGTGGCGATCCTGTTGTAACCTTCTTTTACTTTCTTCATAAAAAGTGGTTGTGTCTTCCTTAACTGAAGGGTTTCTTCTGATTGTACCTTTCCGTTCCCTCATTACTACCACACTACCTTACACCAATCTCTCCGTTATTGTTCTCTTTTTTTACGCTCCTTACCTTTTTTTCTTTTCTCTTCGAATTCTCATTGTTTTGTGTGGCGCATATATATTTGGCGCAATCTTGTACCAATATTTATGTGTTCAAATAAATAAATAAACAATAAAATGAATCATTTGCTTGAATAATCACTGGTCGAGTAAGTTATTGGTTCAATCCTTGTCCACTCAGTCAGCTAGAACGTAGGACCAGGCACATATGTGCATCGGTCCAAGTCCCCTATCTCACTAACACAATAAAATCCACAGCAGATTCAGAGAAATTGTTAATTCAGGGGTGGTAATATATAAATGAAAGATTGCATATAACGACATAGTACACAAAGAAAGAAAGCTATTTTAATCTCAGTTTACGGTAACACAAAGAGTGTATACACCTATGCTATTGTGATCGATTCTAAGCCATGTCATTCAGCATTTCTACCATTTGTTACGATAGTCACGCGGACCCCAACCAAGTAGTCTGCATCTACCAACACGGCTCAGACCAGAAGTTAGTGACTTCAAGCACTGATGCCACGTTTTGGTTTGGCCGCCTCTTACTTTCTTCAAACCATCTCCAACACCGGTTAGGATTGCACGTCGTGGTAATCGGTGTTCAGGCATACGTAATACGTGGCCCAACCATCTCAGTCGATGAAGATTCACAACCTCATTAACTGATTTACCATCATTCTCTAATACCCTGGGTCTAACCTCAATGTAGCAACAACGATCGGGAAATCTTTGTCCCACCTACTTTGAGATTATGTGGTACTAGTGAGTGAGTGTGATGTCATTGTCCATTTGCCTTGGAAATATGAGTCTGATTATAGTCCACCTTTTCTTATCACCTATGACTTCATTCTTCCCAATAATCAGTAACGAAATTATAGCGTCAGAAAGTTTATAATCAAAAATATGGTAGTAAGCAAGACATTTTTAATATACGTTTTTTTCCTCATGTCGTTAAATAAGTTTACTTTTAATATCATTTTTAAATAGGAAAATTATCTTCAGTGTGTAATAAGTGAAGACTGGCCTATCTGGGGTCCGAATATCACTGATGCAAATGAAGATATATTGTCACATTTGTTATCATTAAATACAAAATCGCTGACCAAGCGCAAGGCAGTTCTGTTACGTCTTTTCGCTGTGAGTTTTGCTTACTTACCTTCATCTGTTTGTACTAATTTTAGTCTTGTATGTAAATATAAATTTTCATTGCAGACTGTGTCTTATGTTTTGCGTTTAAAATGTAGAAGATATTTCTCGGATGTCTTCTTAAAGATTTCGTGAGAAAGTGGTTATACCAAGACAGTTGCTATTACAAATCATAAAGTTTCTTGTGTTACTATAACGCATATGAGTGAATTAGCACTTATGGACATAGTTACAATTATAAAATGGTAAGAGATCATTCGCAATAACTGAACGAAACGTTAAAAGTACATCGATTTTCCGACTAACATCAGATACTGTAATTATGAGATATTAAAAAGATTTGTGTTTGCAGGATATCACAATGTCTTAAAAAAAGAAATAAAGAATTTGAAGATAATATCGTATAAATATATGGCAAGAAGTCTTGGGCAATCAAAATCTCATAATCTACTGAAAGTATAATCTTTTGAAATTAAGGCAGTAATAATGTGGAAAGAAATATTTATTGTTTATTGATCATCATCATATGGTACAAGAGCATAGAAATATAAAATTTCAGAGAACATAATGGTTAAAAGTGTATTGAAGAGTACTGTAAGGAAACGTTAAGTACACTATTTGCTTAGACTGGGAAACTAATCACAATAACAGTTCCCATGTCACCACTTATCTTTATAAAATGGGGATGTCAATTTTCTCTCCATAATTATTGTTCCAGGTTAACTTCCTTTTTGTTTTACTTCATACAGCTGGCAGCAAAACTCGAATCTGACTGGGCTAGCCTCGCAATCGCTAATATGATGCCAGATGCAGCAACTGTTCAGCTTGCTATTAGATACGCTGGTCGGCTGAGGCGTCAAAACCTTGCACATCGTTTAGCAGGAGTTGCTTTAGAAAAAGAACGTGTATCAGAAACTGTTGAAGTTGATGATTGGGATGATATACCACAGAGTTCAACATTTAGAGGGAATTGTAATAGGTACATATATTCATCGATATGCTATTATTTTTGGTTATTATTTTAGAGAGAAGTTTCAATTCATTTAACCACACAATACGTTTTCGAAACCGATTTATAAATTGAACTATCATCTTAAATCAGTCAGTCTACGTAAATTCAGATTCGGGTAAAGTTGATGTTGTAGTGAACGAAAACTGATGTACGGTAAACCAGTTCATTATTTTATGCTAAGTCACACAGTACATTTGTAAAATATGAAAATCATACATTAAATACATTATTTGCATATCTTCCTTGAATTGTCCTGCACATACTCCATCATTCTTCCAATTATGTTGTTATTCCGAGTGCTCTTTGTTTCCCTTCTCTTTATTTCAATTTTCTGCTGGTAAGCATTCCACTTCCAATTACTGATACATACCACTTATGTCTGTCCGCATAAGTAGCACACACCACATCGTAATCTGTGAATCTACTTTGGCGAGTTTCGAGAATCAGGCTTCAACCAACTCTTCTTTTCATGAACGAATTACATCAAGTTATACAGTCTGTTTGTATTATTATCTTCTTTTCTTCTATAATTCAGTATCAGATTGTATTTCAGTTTGTGTGATTACCATGTGTCTAAGTGATAGGTGGTTAGTAATACGATTAGTTCACCTATATTTCACATAATGATTAAAGGTGTCCCTAGTTTTCATTGTTTAAGGATTTATAAATCTTACTAAAGGACTGAATTGTTGAGATTCCTAACAATTACAACACTGACAAGAGTATATATATTCCTCATCGCTTATTCTAAAAATATTGTAAAGGAAAAACCACATACGTTTGTCTTTGTTGTTAATAAAAGGATTCACCGTTGAAACGTCTATATTCATTCATTACTCTCCATGTATTATTCCTTTGGCCTAATTGTAGCAATGCTTGAATCCGTTGCAAAAGTTATTAGATAGGCTTAAAATACTTAGTTGTGTTCGTTCTATTTCGTGAAGATGATACTTCGGATTAAAAAATTAATATCTTTCTATGCAGCGAGACTATGATTTATGGATAAACCGATGAAATTAAGGATGCTAAATCTTGTATTTTGTCATGAAATTCATTCATCTTATAGTTAAATAGCATTTTTGGCATTATAACCGATGCTAGCTCGTAATGAAAACTCTGACTTCAGTTTCTAATTTTAAATCCTAACTCGTAATCTTGATCCTAATCACCCACATTAATTTATAATCCTCTTTTGACCTCGGTAAGTAGGTGAGTTGTCTCAAGGTTACTTTGGCGTCGCTCACAGGTGGGCCATAAATTATAGTCCCACCTTGTTTTCCGGATGGTTCGGTTTGTCTAAAGTTGTAATATCCCAACCTTGGTAATCATCTGTTGCTTGTGTTATCCTAAGTGAAATTCGACCGTTTTTTGTTAGGAATTCGTTAGCAGCATTTTTAGTTGTGCTATATATAATCAATTTCCTGGTACGTTAATTTGAATTCATTTTTGCTTAGTGCATACATACACTACGGAATTTAGTCTTATTTCTTAATTTTTTCTAGAGATCCTACTACGTTCTCAGGTTATTCTCCGTCGAACAACCATATTCATTCTCATTCAAAGACTTCAAGACCTACAAATGGTTCAGATTATCATGATGTGGCAGATAGTTCACTTGTTAGTTCAGGAACTGATGATGGCCATATTGATGGTTCGATTAATAATCTACCTCTAGCAGATTCCGAGTCTTTGTCTCATTCTGTGTTGACTCCCTCTTCACGAAATCCATTCAAAGTGAGTTAATAAAACCGTTACTATGCGTGTTCGCGTAGATAAAACAAAGTAACGTTGCCATTTTAATTGAATGAATTATTTTAAAGATGTTATGTGTGCAAATAGCTTAATGCTTGATGAACATAGTGTCTGTAGTTTCTCGCTATTTACAAAACTGTCGAGTTTCTTGATTAGTAAATATTAGGTCTCTGGTCACAAAACTATCATGGTATGTAATAATCAGTCGTAATACCTGTCCGAATGAATAAGGAATTAAGAGTAAAACACAATCATTACATAAATTTAGTTTCCAGTATATATCGGTATGCTAATAATAAGTATTGTAAACTGATCATTCGGGTTATTTCCTGGGATTCGCAATCAAACATATTTATGACGTTGCTTTCAATTTTGAATGGAAACTGAGTTTCTTTGGATACATCTGTTTTGCCAAATATATTAAATTAGACTGTTTGAAACCAAAATCTACTGACTCTGTGTGGTAGTAAACTACCTTCCAAACCTATGTAACTGAAATTTCCAAGTAAAATCATTAAACTTTTCATTATTTATAAACAGCAATTTTATTTTGTGTTGTACGGGTCATATTTACTTTATTTCTAGTCTCTTCGATGAATTTTTCTTATAAATTATCATTATTATTACAGTCTTCTCATGAACCGAAAGAATTTGCACCCCGTTCGATCGCTCATGGAACTGAACTCTTAGATGCTTGGACACCTAAGACGACTGCTACAAATACCAAAGTTCCTCAGAAGCCTGATGTCAACAAAACTCAGAACAACAAAAAGCGTTCACTCTCTGTGAGTTTATTTCACCTTGTATTACGAGTTAGTAAATAATTTATCCTAATCAATTTACCAAATATTGTATTAAGTTGGTGTTTGCTCATGAATGTTGATATGGTAATAGTTCATTGTGTTGCCTGTTGAACTGCATGTTACGTACGTATGGTTACGTAAGTTTATTGTGTTCCACCTTATTTCGATAAATTTGACCAGCTTTCTTTGGTAATCACTTAATGATTTATATTGGAGTTAATGATAATCTGAATAACTTAACATCACATTGCAGTTTTCTGTTAAGTTTCCTCAAACAACTGGGCATTTTCCAAACCCTTTAGATTATTTATTTCGATGATAGCCTGCAGTCGAAAGATCTCTAAAAATTTAAAATCTGTTTTATCTGATGATTACATCTTGCCTCTGATTAATACATTGTTGTTATTTTCTTAAATGAATTTACGTCAACAATTAGTGGATGGAATTTATACATATAAGAGTACATACAAGCTAATATGTATAATTATTCATCCCGACCGTAGCTGCTACATTGAGGTGGTGGTCGGATTTTTTGCTTATCGTGATGATCCAACCGAGCTATTTTGGCTGGGACATATGTTCCTGTAGGTTCCATCATGCCAAGCAGGTCGATTGGAGGATGTTAAGACTAAAAGCGCAGCAACTCAAGGTCTGAGAGCGAAGTCGTACTACTGACTGCAAAGGGGTGTGATAACAGTAAAGTGTTTCCTTCGGACAACCAGCACCGGCAGCGGTGCTGCCTTCTCAGAAGGAAGTGGTTAGAAAAGATCGACTATAAAATGCCACACTTCGCCTTACCTCACAGCACAAGAGACCAAGTTGGTCACAAATAGATCCTTCCTATACCTCCTGATAACTCTTATCTCTACTACTAACCCTTCTCACATCTCTTTATCACCTCGCACCGCTAGGGCAAACGATTCGAGTACGCGGAACGTTATTCCTGGTCTCCTGAAACCACACTCTTAACCACATATAGGAGCTTTCGACGTTCGAACACTGCGCCAAATAGGACAACAGGTTTCCTTAGCTAGGACTTTAGAATCTTGCGCCATCAATGTGTGCTGCATCTCCGAAGCGCTCATGCAGGATCCGAGTAGCGTCATTCATTTGACATCACCATGTCAACATAAAGAACCAACTCGATTCTCACTTCGTGTATCTGGAAGCCCAGATGTTGCTTCTCGTGGCCTCGCCGCTATAGGTATAGGATTGAGTCCTAGGGCAGAACTAGCTCTCTTAGACTGGATCCCAGTAGACAGTCGTTTGTGTGCTGTCCGACTAAACGGAACAGTAAGGACTCGGAAACATAGAGACACTCGTCGTTGCCTCTTCGTCGTCTCTGCCTATTCTCCCACTGACTGCAGCGCAGATGATGTAAAAGATGAGTTTTACAGAAGGCTTCCCGACCTTTTCCAAAAAGTTAGGCGCTCTGATGTAGTAATAATGGCTGGTGACTTTAATGCTCAAGCGGATAAACTGAGCGAAAGGGAAAGACACCTAGGTGAATCTTATGATGTCGTGGCTCAAAGAACAGATAATGGCGACCGTCTGTTGCAGCTATGCTCAGACAACCGCCTGTTTCTTGCAAATACTAACTTTAAGCATAAGCAAAACCATCTTTTAACATGGTGACCTCGAATTCTTTCCAAAGCTGGACCCAACATCGCTAACAGCCACCGATGAAGGGGCTCGATATAAGGCTGTCACTCGTTTTGGAGCACATGCCTAGATTCAGATCATGCTCTAGTGCGAGCGCGTATTTTTCCGCGCCCCAATGGACGGGGCAAGGAAACCTCCTAGGGTTCTACCTATTGATAGTCAAGCTAAGAATACATTTCAGGAACAACTAGAAAAACAGTTAGGCAGCTATGGAATGATATCCGAAAAGCAATGAAAAAAGCAGTGATATCTGCTAGTAAGTTAAGCCATAAGGTTAGGGATAAATACTGGGTCTCAACAGCATCTGGCTCTGAACATGACGAAGAGCGGAGTCAGCTTAAGCGCAGGTTGATATGAAGCCTACGTAATGATCGTGAACAGTAGTGGGTAGCGAAAGCAGGAGATATGGAAAAAGCAGCGGCATTAGGTAACAGCAGACAACTGTTCAGATTTGTTAAGGAAACCGGTATTAGGAATCCAACTTTTAGCGAAACACTCAGAGAAAGATGGACATATTATTCACTCACAATCCAGAAGACCGGATCGATGGGCAGAACATTTTAGGGATCAGTTCAGCTGGCCTTCAGCCACACTTCGGTTTCCCACGATATCTATTCGACCTAAATGGCAAGTTGATGTAAGTCCTCCAACAACAGTAGGTCCTGACATGTTTACCCGTCACATTTTTAGGGATGGTGGTCCAGTATTAGCAGTGAGATTAACTGAGGTCTTAGGTAGGATTCGGGAACTGGACGTAATCCCATCTGACTGGTCTCAATCACTGATTGTGCCAGTCTATAAGAAAGGACAAAAGTCCTCTTGTGACAATCACAGAGGAATCAGTTTGACAAACAGTGTCGAAAACATTAGCTTCAACAATACTTCGACGCCTAACTAAAGCTCCTGAAGAGCAGACTAGAGAAAACCAGGCTGATTTTCGACCTGGACGTGGTTGTATAGACCACGTATTCACACTACGTCAGATTCTAGAACACAGACACACATTCAGACGCCCCACAATGGTAGTGTTTCTCGACCTTAAGGCGGCATTCGACTCTGTCGATCGTAAGGTTCTATGGCAGTATTTGTCACTGAAAGGAGTACCAAAGAAGTACATTAACCTTATAAAGGCTCTCTACTCGAACACAACTGGTCGAGTGAGAGCTTATGGCGAACTGTCATCAGAATTGATTACCTCAAGTGGTGTTCGTCAGGACTGTCTACTCTCTCCATTCTTGTTCAACTTTGTCGTCGACGTACTTTTAGAGATAACACTTTCCTCATCTAGATTTCCAAGGGTTGAACTTCTACCAGGAGGTTCACTTGTTGACTTAGAATATGCTGATGACATAGTTCTATTTGGTGAAGACGCTGACAAAATGCAGTCTTCTGGCCACTCTAAACAACAACGCAAGCATGTTCGGCATGCGATTCTGCCCTTCGAAATGCAGAATGTTGCTTCATGATTGAATTGTTGGAAACTTGTACTAGGTAATGATGGTAAATCAATTGATGAAGTAGTGAAACTTGATCAGTTGATATGGCTGGGACACGTGTTACGTATGCCCAACCAACGACTTCTTCGAAGTGCGATGCTCAGTGGTATAGGAGTAGGCTGGAAGAAAGCTAGGGACGGCCAGACCAAAACATGGCACAAGTCGATAAAGTCAATAACAAGTGGAGTGAGCCATGTTGGTAGGCGTAGACTACCTGGTTGGGATCCGCGAGATGATAGTAAACCGATGGTTAGAGATCTTGAATGACATGGCTCGAAACCGTTTGCAAAAACATAGGTGCATCCACTCCTTGTGTTCTCCCAAAATCTAATCTTCTGAATGCTTCATGTCTGTTATTTTCTTTCCAAATTTATTTCACTTGATTATACTCCTTGAATAACGTCTTCAAAACCTAGTTTTCCCAATTACTACTTATACTCTTACCACCTCTACCACTACGGGATTTAAATTGACAATTGTATATGTGTGCTAATGTGGTATGGCAACTCGAACTGATGTACGTGCGTATGAAGTTCTACGTTGTTGCTGACTGACTGACTAATTATTCATAATATAATTTGGAAATGATTTGTCAGTCATTAGGGGATAAATTGTCTGTGATGTGAATTTAAAACTTAGTTTTAAAAAGCGGGTATATTTTTATAACATTTTAAGGGCAGTCAGTCAGCCACAACGTAGGACCAGGCACATATATGCATCGGTCCAAGTTGCCACACCTCATTAGCACAACAAGATAAACACCAAATTCATAGAAGTAGTTACTTCAAAGGTAGTTATGTATAATGAAATATTGTATAAGGATATAGTACAGAAAGACAAAAATTAGTTCGTAGAAATGTATAAAGCAATCTTAATCTCACGATTCCAGGAAAGACAAAGAGTGTATACACCTACGCCATTGTGATCGATTCTGAGCCATGTCACCCAGAGTCTCCAACCATTGGTTACGATAGTCGTGCAGATCTCAACCAAGTAACCATATATAGGTTGGTAAAAACGTCCTACAGCAAGACCAAAATATTCACAAATAAGCCTCGAAGAGGAGTACACTGCACTAAACGATTGTCTGCGAAGAAATGGATCCCCTCAATAGGTTATGAATAAATGTAGATGGGAGAATAAAAGCCCAAAAAGAAGAAATTAATCAAAGATTAAAATCAACTTTAAAAATCAGATTCCCTTTTTCGAGGTTGATTCTAACAACAATACAAACAAAAGTAAATAAATACCTGTCACATGTTACCTCCCATTCGTAAATCAATAATTATAAATCCATATGTTGGAGGATAGGATTCTGTTAGAAGCGTAAAGTGATACATTATGTGTTATATCTATCTGTTGTCTCGTGTTATTTAGATGAAAGATTGTAGTTCATCTATTCCTTATGTGGTATGAGCTACTTATATTGATATAAGTAGTATATAACGTGTGTTGAAAGAACGTAATGTCCGGCAGCAGAAGATGGCGAAGATCAAGAAAGGAAGAGCAAGAGCACAATGGAATTGTAAGAAAACGCATGTACAATGGAATGGGCGACAATGGATTAGTGTTTGCAACGGGAACAGTACAGTTTGATATGATCGAATGATATTTTGCAAATTGACGATTGACTTTATGGTATTCACATTTTATTGAGATAGTCTGTAATTTTTGTGCTAAATACAATCGATTGTCCCCATCCGTGTTCTCCTTCACTACACTTATACCTAAAGATCATATATATCTTAGTTCTCTGAATCATTTTCAACTGAACATCATTAAAAAATGTTCTAGCAAATTAATCGCATTGAATTTTCTTACATCGCTTTGAATCCTTAATTGCATTGTTTGTTGATTGAAAATGTATTAGAATAATCTTTTTCATTGTTTGTAGTCATCACAACGATCTAAATTACCGAAAATGAAATCTGTTGCTATAGCAGAGTAAGTTTGTATTTTTTTCACATTCATATGACTTCCAATGGTTATTTTAGATTTTAATTTTAAACCGTTTCTCATTACATAATTCAAATATTTTGGTAGCGCTGATCAAGAATTCACTGATTGGTTTGAAGAAAATCGAGATACTTTGGAGGAAAGTTATCCAGAAGTTTCAGTTGAGGAGCTTGTTCGCATAGGACAGTCTCAATACGTAAGTGAACGATTAACCTTCACTAACTGTACTTGTTTTTCATAACTATCGTAAAGCATGATTTTATTTATGTGTGCCAATGTGATCTTAAAATATGTTCCTTATGTACTAATGAAAGATATTCACACAAACACTAACCACCATTGTTCAATCTAATATGCCATCATTCAGTATTCTTTTTTGAATATCGTCCGTGTAACTCACGAAATTTCCAAACGACAGAAATCTAGGCATCATTAACCGTTCATCTTAATTGTGCTTTTTTTCTAAAAGTTACTTAGGAGTGCTTGTAAAATAAACTTTCTGTTCTTTGACACAAGTCAATCATTTTCTAAAAATGCATCTTTGACTATACTTTACTTACTTACGCCTGTTACTCCCAATGGAGCATAGGCCACCGACCAGCATTTTCCAACCCACTCTGTCCTGGGCCTTCCTTTCTCGTTCTATCTAATTGTTTTTTTCATTTTTCTCATGTCTGTCTCCATTTCTCTATGCAATCTGTTCTTTGATCTTCCTCTTTTCCTTTTGCCTTGAGGATTCCATGTAGAGGCTTGCCTTGTTAAGCATTTCAGTGTTTTCTTCAATGTGTGTCCTATCCACTTCCAGCAATTCTTCCTGATTTCTTCCTCCACTGAGATCTGGTTTGTTCTCTCCCACAGAAGGTTGTTGCTGATTGTTACTGGCCAACGGATCTCAAGTATTTTTGCGTAAACAGCTGTTAATAAACACTTGCATCTTCTGGATGATGACTTTCGTAGTTCACCAAGTTTCCGCGTCATACAGTAGAACTATCTTGACGTTTGTATTGAAAATTCTGACTTTTGTGTTGTTTGACAGTTGCTTCGAGTTCCAGATGTTCTTCCGTCGTAAATCTACTGATCTTGCTTTGCCGATCCGCGCCTCCACATCTGCATCAGACCCACCGTGTTCATCAATGTTGCTGCCCAGATATGTAAATGTTTTTACATCCTCCAAATCTTCTCCGTTAGGTGTGATTCGATTGGTGCGTGTTGTGTTGTATCGGAGAATCTTGCTTTCCCTTTGTGTATGTTGAGACCAATTGCTGCTGAGACTGCTGCTACACTGGTGGTCTTCTCCTGCATTTGTTGTTGTGTGTGTGATAGAAGAACCAGATCATCTGCGAAGTCTAGATCGTCCAGCTGCATCCTAGCTGTCCATTGTATTCCATACTTCCCCCCAGATGTTGACTTCTTCATGATCCAGTCGATCACCAGGAGAAAGAGAAAGGGTGAGAGTAAGCAACCTTGCCTGACACCGGTCTTTACCTCGAACGAGTCTGTGACCTGTCCTCCATGCACGATTTTGCAGTTTGATCCATCATAGGAATTCTGTATGATATTGACTATCTTCTGAGGCACGCCGTAGTGTCGAAGGAGCTTCCATCGTGTTGTTCTGTCCACGCTATCAAATGCCTTTTCGTAGTCAATGAAGTTGATGTAAAGTGATGGATTCCATTCAATTGATTGTTCCACAATGATCCGTAATGTTGCAACCTGGTCTGTACACGACCGTTCCTTGCGGAATCCAGCCTGTTGGTCACGAAGTTGGGCGTCTACGCAGTCCTTCATTTTGTTTAACAACACCTTGTTGAAGACTTTCCCTGGTATTGAGAGAAGAGTGATGCCCCTGTAGTTATCACTGTTGCTGAGATCGCCTTTCTTTGGTATCTTGATCAAGTGTCCTTCTTTCCAATCTGTTGATACTTGTTCTTTATCCCAAATCTTGCTGAAGAGAGTGTGGAGCATCCTTGCAGTTACTGATACGTCTGCTTTCAGTGCCTCTGCTGGAATGTTGTCTGGTCCCGCTGCTTTGTCGCTCTTGATTTGTCTGGTGGCTTTGCGGATCTCTTCAATTGTTGGTGGGCCAACATGGATTGGGAGGTCCATAGGTGCTACTTTGATGTTGGGCGGGTTCAGTGGAGCTGATCGATTCAAGAGTTCTTTGAAGTGTTCTACCCATCTGTTTCGTTGTTCTTGGATGTTGGTGATTACTTTGCCCTCCTTGCTTTTCCTTGGTCCCTTTGGTTTACGATAATTTCCAGCGAGTTTCTTTGTTGTATCATACAATTGTCTCATGTGTCCTTCTCTTCAGCCTTTTCAACCGTCATTGCTAGATCTTCCACAAAATTTACGTTTGTAGATTCTGATGCTCCCCTTCACTTGCTTGTTTAATTCTGTGTATTCAGTTTGTGCCTTGGCTTTCTCTGCTTTTGCTCATCTGGTATTGATTGCTGCCTTGTTGAGTCTTATCCAGTGTATCAACGGTGATCCATTCCTTATGGTAGTGCTTCTTGTGTTCCAGAACCTCGTGACATGTTGAAGTGATTGCCTCTTATCCCTCTCAAGTTGCTCTCCACAGTAGTTCCCTCTCCATTGCGTTGGTCATGAAAGGCCTGGAATCTACTACTGAGGACTGCCTTGAATTTGTTGAGTTTGTCAGTAACCCGAAGAAAGGTCGTATTAAACTTTTGTGCTGTTATCTGCTCGATTGTCCGGTGCTTCTTGAGGCTCAGTTTCATCTTGGCGACCAGCAAGTGATGATCTGATGCTACTCCTCTCGGAGCCCCTCTGGGCTATTACCGATCCGAAGCCCGGGTAAATGTAGAGTTTTGGGCATGGGGTTAGCGACCCCATCCAGTAGAAAACTAACTCGAAAAAAACGCTAACCAGGGGCCCTGATGGCTGGAGGAATGATAATAACAATGCCGCACAGTTATCATCTTCAAATATCTGGTGATACTCGCATGGTTATTATTGATTTAAACACAGTGGGTGCCAAAATAAATAAGAAAATTAGATTGTTATGAGGTGAAGAAATAAAGTGGAGTTTGATAATAAAAAAACGGATGAATAAAAATAGGTGAATGATTGGTGGATGCACGGGATTCTAACAGTCTTATAAAAGTACTTTGCATTTCGAAAATGCAAAGCACCTGCCATAGCTGTGGACATTGATTGCCAACTGATTTAACACGAATTGCTTGGCTTAATTATCGTTACACAATAAAACAATATCATCTGCATACTCAAGATCACCCCATATGTAGGATTGCCGTTCGCTAAATACGACTCGTCAGTAGATAGGCATAATGCAGAATGTCGCTTTGTTGTTCATTGTGACACTGTTTAAATAAGGTAGAAACATGAGATTCAGAAAGTGCATGAAGATGAAACGTGAGTAAATAGATGATATGTAAATAAATGAAGTATTTAGAGAAATATATGGACTACCTTCTAAGAAAACAGTGTTTTCTTCTTCTGAAATTCCAGTACATAACTTGCAACCTTCCGATTTCAACTTCATAATTTTGCGATATTAGTTCGCTTAGTTTTCTATTATGTTACTGAACTAACCAGTCAGTAAGATCTAATTAACACATTTGATCAGATCACCCTACTATTTTTTTGGTAGTTGGATCGGTCTAGTGCTGTTATCAGATATCATTATTAAAAGTTAATGTGATCATTAGATTCCTTAAAGTTACCAAGACATGGCAAATCGATATCACGAATACATGGGTGTAAAGTGGGTTGTCTAAAGTAGTAGTTGTAAAGTATTGTGTTGCCATACATATCGATGGTGCACATCATCGACTTAACTTCAGTAAGAATATTTCAACTAAGTGTTAATGTAATAAATAGATCAGTGGCTTAGTGTTTAGGTCTTTCAACCACTATCTCGGGGGTTCGAGTCCTGCTCTACCTACGTCACAAACCCTTACATTTTCATTGTGGCACGAATATTTCCATGGTGACAGGTATATTTTTTCTGTCATGATTAAATAGTACATAAATAGCTGTGATTCCTATTGATATATCTAACGTTTGTTTATTTTTATTCCTTACATATTAGCGTTCTATAAAAAGTTCAAAAGACGGTGTTTTTGATGGAAAAGAAAAGGAAAACGTACTACAAAGTAATACCAAACGTCCATTAAGTGAAAATGATGATTTAATTCAGTGTAATTCCAATGCTACAAAGAGAAGACTATCTGAATTTGAGAATAATGTATCTAAGAGAATGTCGTCATTCGCATTCTCTCAGAATTCTTCAAAATAATAAAGATAACATATCTAGTTTCAGTTAAATAATGTGGCGTCACATTTGTATATTATGTTTAGATCGGTTTGTTGTATTAATTGTTATAGAGCGATCTCTTCCTTTAAAAAGTGTAATTTGTAATATCAACCCGTTGCATATCTCTAAATTTATTTCCTTTCGTAAAGTATTTGCATACATTTTTTTACTAGAAAATGTAATGCTTACCCTGGCTTGAATTTGTATCGTATAAGCTGCTATAAAATACTGTTATGACTTTTCCTATCAACTGATCCTCAATTTCTATACACAGTGTATACGTAGGTTTAGCACTCAGAGTAAATCAATTAACGAAAGCTCTACAAGAAGTGTTACAAACACAATATATAGTTTTTGGCTATTTCACTCTATTTTTCCACTATGAAACCTAGTCTCCAATAACATATGATTTGACTTCTTGTGATCGTTTCTGAATATACGAGATGCCTAATTATTCAGAAAGTGAGAAATCGATGCTTTAGGAGCTGTTCTATGGAGTTGTGACATTTGAACTCGTTTTTAACGAGTATTGATTTCAAAAGGTAACCTTGCGTTGTTGGAAATATTGTTTATTCCTATTTATATAGATAGATTTTTTCCGATGTGTTAAAAGTATAGTCGTGACTGGCATTGGATTCGCAATAAAACGTGGCTATCAGAATCATGTAGTTAGACAAAGACAATCCACTGAGAGACATCACAGTTTAATTTATAAGTACTAATGACAAATACAAAGCACTAGTTTCTGCCAGGCCATACCCATCACTATTGGACCTGCAGAATTTACAGACTTAGGTTCATACAGGAATACTATTTCTAGTTTCTTTACCCGTCCTTTAAGTCTATATTTGCCAGTTGGTTTGTTCTCAGAAAAGTGAATTAGCTTAATTACATCAACTTCACAAGTTAGTAAAGACTTCCTCCATAGACTACTTTATAACTACAAATATGTTTCTTCAAAATCTGGACGTACTACATTTTGAATGAAGAACAACGATCCTAGGAGAATAATATCGATTCATTTATTTCGCGGGTCCTCCTCAACTGCTTACGACTTAAAAATAGTGGAAATCATCAAGAAACAAAACAAGTATTCGTACGTTATCAGAGAAGTCTGGAATAAAATTGAGATATAAAATAATGGACGACAATAACTGTAAAAGGATTGAGAGAACGTTCGAATATTTGTTTGCTTACAGGTTAAATATATAAATACTCGGGAAGAGGAAACTGGAAGGAGCAAGAAAAGATGATTTTTCGGAAGTGCTGATCATCTTGCAGGACTTTTAAAACATTAAAGTCATGTCCAATGTCGAACAATAGCGCTGCTGAACATTTTTTATCCTCACAGTCATTCATCTCAAAGAAAATCCCACAAAACATATGGGAAAGTGTGGACTGTTGGATTCCAGCTAAATAACGGATGTTCTTGGTGAGGTTGCCAGTGTTCACTACTGATGAGTCCTAAATTGCTTAAAACAGTTGTGATGGTTCAGTGTGTACTGATCTTCAATGGCTTTCCAAAGAGGATCAATTCTCAATTGAAATTACATTCGGCATACTGATTGTATGAAGCACCCGATACTCCTACCTTTTTAGCATTTCCGAAACTAATAATTTAACCCACCAAATTCAAGTTTACGTACTTGGCTTTGAGGCACATTTTTCTGGAGCAACTTGTTTGTCAGGAATATTTAAGATTTAGAAATACCGCGAAAAAATAGTCGATCATTTGAACCGATTAAAGAAAGCTTTTACAATGACATCAATTAGTTATAGAAATGTTTATCAGCGACTACAATTTTCTATATATATAGCGATTAATTAGATTCAGTTATTACATGATGCAACTTATTGTGTATCAGTCGATTTGTCTGCATCGTAGACTGGGTTTAAGAATTTAGTTTGTTTCTGAAGAACAAGAGTTATGTAGAGAATAGTTGAATCTTGAAGCTTTAAAAATAGACATTCAATTATCATTGTATATTTTTCAAATTACGAATTCTGTTTAGGAGCTATGAAGAAGAGGGATTACAAATGTCATTTGTATATTTTTAGTGATGTTTAATTCGGCTGGATATTGTTTCCACTACCATCTCCGATTTTCATAGGATTAATATTCAACGTTGTAGTTAACCTGTCATGAATTGAATCACCTAGTGCAACTGATATCCATGTTATTAATATGAATGCAGTACGACAAGCATCAAGTATTTGCCATATTTTAAGAAAATTATTTAAATCAATTTGTGTACTCAATAGGTATCTTATTTCATCTTCAGATTTATAACTATTCACATGAAATATATAATCAAACCAACCCATCGAATTGTGTATTACGAAAGCGATCATATAAAATATGATAGCCATTAGTCCATTCTAATAAAAAAGAAGAGAAAATGATAAGTGATAAATTTTGAGAAAAAGGTTGGATCTACAAATGAGTTTCTTCTGCTTCTTATTTTGAAGTGATTAACTAGTATCAACCTACAAATTAATCAAGTATCATACAATGCTTACAATTCGTATTGGATAATGGCTATTAAATTTTGACTAATATACAATAAAATAATGATAATTGTCATTTGAGTTGGTTAACACCTAATTATTAATTTCGTTTAGTTATCAATAATCAAAGCTAAATTGTGAACCGAACTGCGTAATAGTTTTTAATTTATTTGTGTGCAGGATCAGTACCACACATTTTTGTAAGATTTATTTATATAATCTGACTACATAAACCAAGGTAAACGGGGTGAAGTTCGTGCCCAAAATCCTATGACTCAAAATTTAAATGTTTTGTTACTCAGTGACTACCGAATTTCATGTACGTGACGAGAATATGAAGTTTTTTTTAACGATGCTCATTAATCGATAAATACAGTACTGTTTTCTGTAATAAATCTTGCAGTTAATTGATTAACGTTATACAACGATAGATTTAACAGAGGTTTCGGGGAACGGTAAGTGAATTAGTTAACAACTAAAGGCGATCATGAAACTAGAATTATTACCTAAGCAGAAGGATTTCCAAAAATATCATTAGTAATAGTTCCTGAACATGACGAAGATAACACCGAAGAAAGTATAGTAATACAAATACCGATTTAGGCGACCAAGAGATTGTGAAACGCTAAATTCCCCTGCCTTATGCTTTTGTAAAATAGGTTTAATAGGTTATAGCATTAACTAAAATAGAGTATGTATCATTTTATAAACTACAAAAGATAATGATCTAATTATTTTACTACCAGTGTCTTTAGGAAAAGTTCTTTCCTTATATCTTTTGGCTGGTGTCATGCATCGATCAATGTTAGACCACCGTCGAAAAACTAGAAGCACTGAACGGCCGTCTCGTCCTAGTATGGGGCTACTTAGCAGTGCGCATTCACGGTCCCGCACGTGGGATTCGAACTCAGAGACTTCGGTTGTGCGCGCGGACGCTTAACCTCAAGACCTTTGAGCTTCAGGGTCGTAGATGCGCACTGCTTAGGCCGTCCATTGCTTCCAGGATCTCGATGGGTTTAACAGTGGTCGACTCATGATCTCAATCAAAACTCAATAATCTCCACAACCCTATACTGATATTTCATTCGTCTGATCGTATTCTGATCAGCTATTCCTCACATGGTAAAAAGATCTTAATAATGTGGCTGGAAAAAAAGAATACTTGGAACATTTAGAGGTATGATAAATCCTACCTTTCATCTTGGCTGAACAAATGTAACAGTGAGTCTAAGTTATGTTGATGTAATGTATTGTTGGTACTGGACGATTTCAGTACTACTAATAATTTTCACTGAGAAATAGTGGTGTGTGCCATGTTGACGAGTTAAAAAAATTCACTACAGTCGGTAATTGAATTGTCAATTATAATGTTTTCTAAAACAGGTCTCACATGAATCTTTACTGATACTTAATGGACGGTAATTAATCAATTTAAAGCACGATTTTTTTTCTGGTCAGCAGTTTTCATGACTGTTAATTTAATGGGATTAATTGGCTGGATTGTATAGTCAGTACATTGAAAAATTGTCAATCTCATTTTCTTCATGCGAACTAACTGACAAGACAAACTATAGTAAGTAAAATAAAACCCCTAATCCTATAATCGGATTAATATAAGAGTAGTAACTGAATGACTATCGGTACGAATAGAACCATATTGTGTAAACAAATATGTTCAATAACAATATATATATATATATATATATATATATATATATATATATATATATATATATATATATATATATATATATATCAGTAACCACCTGAAGTTTAACACATTTCCGAATACAATTTGTTGTTGGCCTTCCTAAATCGAATTTTCCAAATACAAAAACACCTATCCAAACTAATGATATATAAAATGTAATAGAGATTGGACGTGCATAAACTCCATAATATTTTAATAATGGTAAATAACCATCTCCGTAATTGTAATTCCAAGAACCATCATTTTTAATTTGTCTTGGATTAATTAATGATTGTACGAATAGTGTATGCACTAAACTTGCACCAGCCAATAAGCCAAATAACGTAAATGTCAAAATTTGTAGTGTTTCATGTATGCTGATAACAAAATGTAATCCTGGATTGTTATGCGTATACATCAGTTCTTGTTTGTCATTTAGTCTTCTTTTAATTGTAGATTCTTCATTTCGTTTCATAGGCATATTTTTCTCATAATCTTTAAGTGGATGAGAACGAAAGCCACTTCGATTTTCAACATAAACGTTTGAAGTAAACTGTCTGTCAGGGAAATTAATTGAAAAATCACCTATAAATAAATGATAACAAAAAGAAAATGTATTTATTGTGCGATTTTTACACTATGATAAGAATAATATGATCATTTAATTTTAAAAGTAGTGTTCTGAACCGACCATAAATCAATTTTATGTACTTCTGAAATAATTTTTTTTTCGTGTGAGGAAGTTGCATAATCACATGCACATAATCAAATTAAAGCCATATGCTTCATATACCAGTTAATACTACAATCACTACTATTTGTCTGAGCAAAGATTAAAAGTCACTGTATGCTGATAAAGATTTGTTCCCTGAACTTGGCTGTCTGGTCATCGAGCTTTCATCGTTCTGAACGCCATCATCAGCACAAACTTCAAGTAGTAGTGATGCGTCCGAGTTTCTCCACATATGACTCCCAGCTCGTCCTGTAGACCACGATCTTGATTGGCTATTGTTGACCTTTAACCTGTCATTGTTTACTTCTTTATTTTGACTGTATCTCCCATTGATTTGACTCTTGGTCCCATATCTGTCTATAATTGTTCTGGTTGGTTGATAAATTGGATCGATTTCATTGTGTAACTAAAACTCATCGATTTATGCTTAATAACATACTATCAATTCAGCAACAAAATCTACGAACCAATGAAAGGAAAACCGATGAGATCACCAATATCAGAACTTATGGCAGAAGCCTCGATCTTACCAGTCATCAAGCCAAAAATTTGGATTCGCTATGTGGACGACATATTCGTCATCGTCAAAAAGGACGAGCTCGAAAACACCTACAATCTGTTCAACAACGTCTTCGATGACACGAAGTTCACAATGGAAAAGAAGTCAAACAACAAACTATCATTTTTGGATATATTAATCAACAGAATCAATGCATGAAAACTGGGAACTTGAGTATATTGGAAGCCGACCCACATAGATTGAATTCTCAATTACAGTAACAACAACCTAAGAACTCACAAAATCAACTGCGTACAAACCTTATTCAAGAGGGCAAGGAAACACTGCAACACACTTGCAGCTCGGGAAAATGAAGAAAAATATCTCAAGACTATCTTCCAAAAGAGCTGCTACCCAATCAACGTCATCAAAAAAACCAACCAAACTGATCAGCAGAAACACAATCAGATACAGGAACCAACAAACAGATTGTTCAACTATATATAAAAGGCATATCAAATATCACGCATTTTTTTGAAGCCTTACGGAATAAGTGTAGCACAAAAACCAACAAAATTACTTCAATCAATCCTATACAAACCAATGAACGAAATGACAAAAGAAGAAACCAAACATCATCTACAAAATAAATTGTTCCAACTGCGAAAAACACGACATCAGACAAAGTGGACGCCCCCTTCATCTTCGCGTGCACGAACATCAATTAGCGGTCTAAAGCCACGGCATATCCTCGCTTATATCAATGCATGTAAACACACAATGGATTGGGAAAATGTTGAGGTCTAGATAGAGGGAATTCTAAAAACACCAGAGAATTTTTAGAAGCTTAGCACTCAAGTCAATAAGCAATCAACAAACACATTGAAATCGATCCAATTTATCAACCAACCAGAACAATTATAGACAGATATGGGACCAAGAGTCAAATCAATGGGAGATACAGTCAAAATAAAGAAGTAAACAATGACAGGTTAAAGGTCAACAATAGCCAATCAAGATCGTGGTCTACAGGACGAGCTGGGAGTCATATGTGGGGAAACTCGGACGCACCACTACTACTTGAAGTTTGTGCTGATGATGGCGTTCAGAACGATGAAAGCTCCACGATCGAACAATCCAGCTCAGCGAATAAAATCACCAAAAACATCTACCTGAGCTTCAAATCTTATCCATCAACTCACTGTTTTCTACATAAATGTTATTTCTTTTATTGGCTAACCGTTTTTTCTTTCATGGGTTATTATCAGACATTTGTATATAAACAACTATTTTGAATTCCACTCTTTAGACCTAGTCATTCGCTCAGTTTGTCGGTTTTTTTTAAATTTTTCCTCGAGTTAGGATATATGTATTGTTTCCGTAAGCAGATGATCGATTCAATCATTCGATTCATTCTAATGATTCTATCAACTGACATAGCATAACTCATAACTTAAAAAGTAAAGGTTAATACCGAAATACCGGTACAAGAAGTGGGGTTCAAGTATCCAAGCCATAACTTTAAATTTGTCAGTCTAATAATTTCATTTGTTGTACTACATAATATGAATGTCTTGAGAAGTTATTATGTTTCAGAGTATCAACAGAACACTACGTAATATGAGAATTAGTGATTGGCAGAACTAACCGGCACGCCCTCTGATAATCACGACTGAATCAAAAGTAAAGACGGAGAGCACAACATATTCGTTCCAATGTAGTGTACTGAAGTTGAAATTGCGCGACTAAGTAAACATGACACAATTATTACGTAGCAGAAACAACACGAAAATGTTATTTTCAACATAACGGTTAGTATATTAGTTAGGTAGTTTGAACAACATGAACGTCGTTAACATCAGTGTAGCAAAAACAGTGAATCTTGAGCTCTAAACGTCTCTAATAGGTTATACTACGCAATACTAAATCCACGTATTGTATACTTCAAAACTCTATCTTTTCTGTCATGCAGAACTATGCCCACCGATCATGTACTCAAATGTATAATTAATCCTCTTAATTTTCCTGAAGACAACACACTGTATTTTACTTAAGCTATCTTTAAATAAATGAGTTTGAATTCTAATTGTATCATCGGCCAAAGATGGTTTTTGTAAGGATCATATGGTACACAAACAATCAGCTACCAACGATTAATATTGGGAAAATATGAATTTAAGTGATAGTAATTTTAATCATAAATTATGCAAACTACAAACAGCCCAAATCTTTGTTGTGGGAGTCATAAGATTGATTACATGATATATATTGAATCAAATAATGAGTTTAAATAAACTGCAAATATCCTGCACTAGTATTTAGCGTAACCTTTCAACAACCAATATCTCCATTATACTTTCTGTAGGTTACCGTTTTAAACTTTTAAGAGATCATACAATGTAAGACAACAGGTACCTCAGTACTCATTTGTTTCAGGTAGTTACTTGAGTATTAGTTAGTGACTGAAATTCACAGTTCTTTGATATGAGATATTCAACCTGAGTGATAAGACCACTTCAGACATATCTAAATATGAGGATTTCCATCGTTACGAACAAAATCGCAAAATCTATACAATTTTAATAGTCAGCAGAATGTCTCAATTGTAACAACCTTTGTCCTGCACGATTCCTTAACTGTTATTCACCTTTAAGATATGATAAACGGCTTTTCATGGAGCGATATCATTCAAATGTGATTTCGTCCTCGAATTAGTTATGTTGTAATACTGCATTTATACTCATCACTTCACAATTATAGTGTGTAATAATCTAATTCATAAATTATGGTAAAGCTTACTTACCGCGGTTATCCATAAATGGAATCTTTTTTGCTCCAGTCACTAGGCCGTTTCTTTTTTTATTCACGTTTTCTATTTCTGATGCTATTGTTATATCGTCTCCCAAGGTCTCTAGGATAGGGCCTATATCGCTGTTGTTTACTTTCGAACTCTTTCTACCCTTGTTTTTTCTCAATATTTCAGAGGTATTAGCTTGAACCGTTGATTCAATAGTTTGTGCCATTACTCGTTTGCTTAAAAATCTATTTGAAGTTTGATTTTTAACATACACAAATTAAACGGTCTGATGATGGTGCAATGTTTAAATATTAAATAAATGAACTGGATGTCATAAGCACATCAATATTTTTTTTATTTTTTAGGAAAAAATACCGCTACAATCAATACTAAGCAAATGTGTGACGACGTGACTTAAATCTATTGGCTTTTGTATTATTAATCATGACTTTCAGGTGTATGGTTTAATTGCTCGATTGGTATGAAATAGTCTGTACATAGTCAGAAATCAATGAACCACGTAAGCATAAATGCACACGGTTTTGAGATAAAAGTTAGTCCCTTTGCTAGAATAAATATCAATAAGTTGGCTTACTTAAAGGCTGATCACGTACTAACCTAATCGTGACAATGTGGATCACTTTTGAATAATCAACTCAATGAAACACAACACTATTTATCAACTCCTTTGTTTGTGAAAGATCACTCAACATTGTGGATAGAAATATCTTGTGAATTCTTTTCCGACACTATGGAGTGCTTGCGAAAATCATCATCATCATACAGAACTCCTACGAAGAGGTGAATTGCAAAGTCACTCATTGAGAGTAGCTCACAAATCCATTTCAGGTAAGGAATGATGTTAGACAAGGTTTCCCACTCTAGTCTCTTCTCTTGCTTCTGCTTGTCGAATAGATTACGAGGATATACATACCTCAAGAGGAACACGGAATATAGTGGACATGGCAACAGACGCAGACGAAGATAGGTAGTGTAACATCAGCTCTTGTGAGAGTAATTCTCAACATTCAGATGGGAATAAGCAACATCCTGAAGTACAATACGACAAGCTTCACATAAATTAAACTTGATAGCGAAGCTTTTGAAGCGATGGAAATTTTTACGTACTTGGGTTAGCATTGTTGATAAACAAGAGGATCTTGATGCAAATGTCAAGGCAGAAACTGTCGAAGCAAGGGCAACATTGCTGTAATTAAAAAATATCTGACACTCAAGCGAACTGTCATCGAACTTAGAATTTTCGACACAAAAGTTGAAACGTCTCTACTGTACGCAACTGAATCGTAGGGAACTACCACAACCATTACCAAAATAACATTGGTATTTACGAAAGAATTTATTCGCAAGAATTTATCAGAGATAATCTAATGTGGTAGAGAACATATTACTTGCCAGTTAGTGAATAAGTTTAAAAGAACGCTAGAGGTTGCTAAAAGACTTTGCGGAGGTCATTAAGGTCACCAAGAAAACCTTAACTTGGGATTTTCAAGGTAAAAGGAAAAGAGACAGGACATAGAACAAACGGCGACTGAAGTTGCTAGAAGACACCACTATTATAAATCGTCCCTCGGGACAACTGGGAAGTAGAATTCAGGAAAAAATAGTTGTAGATTATTGAGTGGTGATCTGTGCCAAAAACGAGTAACAGACTTCAGAAAGTAAGAATGCTCCTTGTATTACTAGTCACATCTCCGCCTTGTATGCAGTAGCTGTTGTTGTTCTGGCTTTATATATCCGGAAGAATTGTTTAAAATTATACGTAAAAGTTGATGACAGGAGTTTCTTTAAAGCTACTTTGGGAAACACAACTTTGCATATCTAAATGCCGTCTGAAAGTGAATCAAACTTACAGTCTGAGTAACTACGGAAAGGTAACTACACTCTTTTCGTGATGACCATACGCCCCGCTTCACCTGAACCCGACTGTAAATAAAGATTCCATATTTGGAAGTAATAGAACAAATTACTACAATGTTTTGGTGATTTGAAAAAGTTTGGTGGCTATAAGAACAGTGATTTCTGATCACAGTGCAAACAATCATGTAGACCTGGAACCATCTAACAAGAAAAATGATTTTTCGAACGTCTCAGACTGAGCAAGTAAACAGTATTTTCATCAACTTATAGTGCACACCAGTATCTTAGTTAGAATACATCAGAATTTCACAGATGTCCGCATCCTCATGTGATATATATTCATGTTACTCTTTCATTAATTAATTGGCACATCCCTGATCAAACCACTACTTATAATTAGCAAATACATGTAAGTTGTGCACTAATTTAAAAGCCTAACTTCACGATGATGAAAATTCATACTTTGTCGTAATAAAATGAGGCAAACTTACACAGTTAAAATTTTCGCAATAATAAAAACACATACTATATAATTTGTAGGTTCACATCCATCATAATAAAGTGATATATTTTTGAGTCAGAGATATTGTTTTGTCTGGCCTGTAGATTCATTAGCATATTTAAAAAGCAAATAACAAGATAAAAATGTTTATCACTCACAAATCTATCATAAACCGTAATGTATAAAGACCTCTCTCACACTAACCAAACGTAAATTCTATGAAAAAAAACTTTTCTACCGTTATTTCTGCAAGACAATATTCATAATTCAATTTAAGGGTTGAATTATAGCTTGATGAATGAAATAAGACCAATAGTAAAAATCGACTAATAAATAATCAGTTACGAACTTGCAAGCTTTTACTCAAGACGATCTCTAAGTATACACCTGGAACAGGTATGTGGTTCTTTTCGGAGTGTCCTCGTAAACTTTCTGTCTTGGAGGACAAGAAAAATCAGGGCATGTCAGGCGCAATATTATAACTAAGTAGTTTGAATACTGCGATTAGATCACCTTTAGTTCTTCTATATGACAAAGAAAATGTGTTTAGTTTAGACAATCAAATAGTCAAGCATAATACGGGAGTATCGCTTTTCCGGGAATCAGCTTAGTTACTGTTTTCTGAACCTTTTCCAAAAACTCACTGTCTTTTTTAAGCAGAGACTAGCCGCTTGTATGTAGTACTCAAATTTGGGACGCACTAACACTGTATACAAATTCAAAAATGTTTTAGCATAGACGTGACTAAAGGCCCTACGTATTGACCACAAAGTGTCAAAACTTTTGGCAGCTATTGTATGGCAGTGTGCAGTGCTTTTTAAGTCTTGGCTAACGATGACTCCTAAGCCATTGTGTGTCTGGACAACAGGTAACTCAACGTTATTCGCTGTGTATGTATCTATACCTTGATGACCAATGTACATCACAATACACTTGGAAGTATTTATCAGCAACTGCAAAATTTTATACCATTCTGATAATTTTTCCAGGTCATTTGAGACACCAAACCATCATCTTAACTTTTTAATGCCGCTCCACATATCTTGATATGGTCAGCATATAGTAAGATAAGAGACGATAAAGGTCATTTTCATGCAAGAGGAACAACGCTAGCCCCAAAACTGTACCCTGAGGCAATCCGCTAAGCACAGTTTCCCAGCTAAACAACTTTGACTTCACCCGTACTATTTGTTGGCGCCCAACTAAGAAGTGTTTTATCCACATCAATAGATTGCCTCCAACCCCGACACTTCTTAACTTATATAACAGCCGATTGTGTGAAACTTTGTCAAAAGCTCTGCTGAAGTCAGTGTAGGCTACGTCTACAGGTAACATCTGGTCCCTAAGAGCGCACCGGCTTTCACGAGCGACTAATAAGTTAGTGAGACAGGAATAACTTATTCTGAAACCATGCTTTTTCTATGAAAGGATCCGGTTTTCATCGACGCACTTAAACAACTCCTTTCGAATGATCTTTTCTGAGATTTTAACGACCACGCTAGATAGGTTAACACGTCAGTAGCTTTCAGATCCATGTTTCGAACCTGTTTTGAAGACGGGACTTACTATGGAGTTGTTCCAGTCTCTTGGCAATCCATCCTGTGTTACGGATAGTTTAAAACAATTACTTAGCGGATTCTCAACGAAGTTAGCTAATTCCTCCAGTAACCTTGGATGCAGTTCATCAGGTCCCGTGGATTTGCTTATGTCAGGATTATTTAGCAGACCAGAGTCATCGATTTCTTTAATGGTCACGCTGTCTAGTGTTTGTGTGGGAGGATTCGTTTGGACTGAAGGAAAGGGTGATTCTACGGTATTCACACATATGTAATAGTTTGAGAATACTTGAGCCTTACCATAATCGTCCTCCACTAACGATGAAATATTACTGTCAACCCATAGAGCAGGAATATTTCCTCTTCTCTTTGTCCTTTGGGTTATATAAGAATCCAAGCGTTTAGGACATTCTATGGATTCCTTAACAATCTTTTCTTCGTACAACTTTCTAGACCGACGGAGGGTCGAGGCACAGGTATTCGAATGCAAGAAATGCAAGTTTTACGGCTGCATATGCAGTAACCTATATCTATTATTTAAACTTCAGGTGCCTTAACTAATCGCTTTCTGTCATCCGCTGTCAACGAAAAAGACTTTGGTAAGCTGTACGACATCGCGACACAAGGTTACTTTCACTATATCAGAGACAAGATGATAAAGCGTAATAGAAGAAAACAAGATCAGGTATGTACTAATTTAAAGTGATAACTTCCCTACGGCTCTATAGCTACAGTCAACAATATTAGCGAACATTACCGTAAGTTCAGCTTCAAGTATTTGGCTGTGCCAAAGCATGTCATTGAGATATGGTTGTGACTTTTTTCTTTTTTTAATTCAAAATTCACGGGACGACTACCTCAATTCTTAATAGCTGAACGAACGTGGCTTAAGGGAATACTCCTTGAAATTTTCTTTATATTCTACCTCCTTTTTAATAAACAATTTCTGGTAAAAGAGCTTACTTTATTACTCACATGTAAAACTATAGGAGTGCTGAGAACGTGTTCTTGAGTGTCAGTGAAATTTTGAATAAATGCACATTTCAGCAGTTTAAAAATCCCCATAGAATATTCAAAAACGGAGAATATTTGAGCGAACAATTGTTTTCAATAACTTCATCATCAGGCTCTACAGTTATAAGTTCATAATTATGATATTTTACAAAGGCCAAAAATAAGGTATGTATTAATGAATTTGACAATGTTATGTGTTAAAAATGGTGAACGTTTGCATCTGTTATGATATATATATATACTTCAAAAATTGTAATATTTGCAAATTAGAAAAGTCATTCAATAAAGGTCAGTAAATTGTTCAGTCACAATAAATAGAATAGTATTATAGCAAAATTGAAAATGCCAAAAAAATATTTTTGTGTGTGAATACAATGCATAGTAGGAGAATTTAATTTTGTCAATTGACATAATAATAATATTGTTGTGTGAATATAATATGTAATAAGCGGGGTGTTATCAAGGTAATTACGACCAACGAATTGGGAATGATGGATGTGAAGATTAAGATATAGATAGTGACAAATAATGATAATAAGGAAAATAAATAAAAATAAAGATAAAAGAAGGGGGTAAGAGGTTTATAGTATTCAGTCTAGGTATTCGGTGATCCAGTCGTAGGCCAGGGTAAACATAGAGGCTGGATATATTTTTTCTGGATGCATAAATTAGGTCTTCTGGAGTTGGTCCAGATGTGTTCGGCTATGTAAAGCAATCGTAATCTAGCTCCTTTAGGTAGATATTTTGAAACTTGATATAAAACAGAGAAAGCTTTCTCTATTTTGATATGATGTTCACTATCTACCAAGTGGGAAAGAATGGTGCTGTTAATCGATTTGGTGACTCCTTTTCCCAACCATGCTGGTACATGTTCACGAACACGCAAGGATAAAGCCCTCTGAGTACGGCCTATGTGACTAGCTCCACAGGAGCAGTTGAATTGGTATACACACATGGAGCAGCCCATCTTCGGTAACTTATGTAATAATATTATTATTATGTCAATTGACAAAATTAAATTCTCCTATTATGCATTGTATTCACACACAAAAATATTTTTTTGGCATTTTCAATTTTGCTATAATACTATTCTATTTATTGTGACTGAACAATTTACTGACCTTTATTGAATGACTTTTCTAATTTGCAAATATTACAATTTTTGAAGTATATATATATATCATAACAGATGCGAACGTTCACCATTTTTAACACATAACATTGTCAAATTCATTAATACATGCCTTATTTTTGGCCTTTGTAAAATATCATAATTATGAACTTATAACTGTAGAGCCTGATGATGAAATTACTGAAGACAATTGTTCGCTCAAATATCCTTCGTTTTTTAAATGCACATTCCTTATAGATAATACATCACCTGTTCCTTCTTTTGCAGATAATTTCAAAGAACACTGAATTGGCAATTGCGATGTATATGCAAAACAATCTATATTTAAGCTTTTGCTCTAATGTTGTACAATAATACGCTTTTCCTTCTTAATAAGAATTTTCAAAAATATACCGGTTTTCCAGTACATTGCAAATTTATTTTGGTCTGTTGTTGAAAATAAAGGCGAACATAAGAGACTTTTGGAGTTATGTCAATGGATCGAAAATAGAGAGTTCCGTGTGCATTTAGGCGAAACGTAGAAAATTAGGCGTATAAGTAGGCAATTCCGTGGGAATTTAAGCGAAAAGTGAGTAATTTGTCGACAAAACGACGATAAAGGGGGAAATCCGCATTATTTCTCCTGTACAGGCTAAAAGGGCGACATTCGGATGCGCTCTATTCTTTATTTCCCCTTTGTTCGCCTTTATTTCCCCTTTTTTGGTTGTCTGAGATAGTCCAAGGGATGTGGGGTGCGGTAACATATGAGTGAATCCGTTGACGAGATGCACGTATATTCTAACTAGTAGCAACTGACAAACTTAATGTAATAATAAAACAAATCAATTATTAATTTCAAGTCCAAAGGCGTTTCTAACCTACCGTGTTGACAATGATGCGTAACCTTAGAATTTAAAAAGCGTACTGGTCCGTTTAATTACAGTAGATACAACGATGCTAAAATAAAACAATATTTTGCGACACTAAGATGAATATGATCAATTCTGAGAGAGGCTTTTAGTATTCCTTGGAAACAGTATTCAAATATCAACTAACCTGTTGTACTGTAAAAAATTGTATTTTTTGACAATTTCCATATTGTTTACCTTTCCAATATTTTTACTAGCTTTTACCTGTTTTTATACTTCGTTCATAACTCTTCACATACTTAAATCTGTCACTTGTGATTCTATGACGTGATCAGACGCTTCTCTGTCCACAGATATCCAGAGGCGGCAATCGTGACATGTAGAAAAACATGCCTCATATTCACAATGGCATAGTAAAGCCTAACTATTCTCCTGTGAATAAGGACCCTCATATTCCTCGTCATTCAACAAAACGAGACGATATTCAATCTGTTGTTGACACGGAGGCAAATAAATCCTTAAAACCAATAGCTCTGTAATCTTCGACATTTGATGCTGAACAAATTAGTTTTAATGGACTCACCTAGCTGAAGGCGCTTTGTCACAAATTCACATCAGATCACGGGTGGAAACGCGGTGCTCAACTTTGCTAGCCAGTTTAGGTCAGTCACTTCTCGATATATTGATGACCTATCAAATATATCTTAGAACCTTCTCGCTTCTGAATTGATTTCACTGGGTGGGCACGATTCAATTATAGTTGTTACTGGTTAAAGTGTTGTCCAACTACATATGCTTTTGGCATCTCCAGTGAGTAAAGAGAAAGATATAACAACATGTGAAAAAGATGTGGCTAACTCAGCAAGATCGAACACATTTTTTACAGTGACACACTACTTGATGATTATTATGGGCATGATTACTTGTTTGGAACAACAAGTTATTTATTAGGGCCATACCAAGAAGTTCATTGTTTATTTTATTTATTTGAACACACAAATATTGGTGCGAAGACACCTGATACATGTGCGCCACATAAATCACTTGATTTATGTGTGGGCTGTGATACTGCTGTGATACCCAGACCGAAGCACGTGGTTTTCCTAAGGGGCAACACCAGGAGCTTTTGGCCAAAAGGTCTGATTCACAGTGCAGTGGATCAACATCAGGAGATGCAGTTTCATGGTAGGCAGTGACCAGTAACTGATTCCTACCTCATTTGTTCCTTTACGACCTTGGAACTCATGAGCATCATTGATTTGGTAGCAAGGTTTCCCAACTCCCCTAGGTGAACCCTTTGTGTTCACTAACCAAAATAAAGCTCTGGACATTCGCTTTTCATCCTTTCAATTTCTTATACAACAGTAATGCTGCGAGAGGGCAGTGGGTTGGACTTTCCTGGCTGTGAACGCGTTACATTGTGAGAGCATTTCGAGATAGAGTGCTAACTCTTCCCACCCTCGACCGTACCAGGTCATTTGAGGGCCTAGAATTTGAAGTGTTAGTAATAAATGTTTGTTCTATAGCCTTGTTATTACGTCATTGATTAATCAGTGTGGTTGGTAGTTATTTGACTCTGATGTGCTTTACAGTGTTAGATCATGCCTTGAGACGAAAATAAGGGTTTTACGGTCAATGAAATTATAGACTCTGCTGTCCAATGATAGCACAGTCGATTAGTAATATTTTCAGTCACGTTCGGATGTCTTGATAATATAATTTACTGTGGTGAAAGATAACCTGTTAAGTCAACTGGAAAATTTTGTATGGTGTACATTCGAGTCTTAGTTTCTGTCTATTGGTTTTGTGAATACATCCGGGTTTTTTATGCCAGATGTTAAGATGCTTGCGACCATGGCTTGTGGACAACAGAGGATCTTGCTCATTTTGATGTGTGATAAACACTAAGATAAGAACATTGTCATCATATTTGACTTGAGGTCATAAGAAGTGAATAAAAATTCAGAACCTGTTGTCATGAGAATTCCATATGTAGGATTAATTATTATTTATCTCGTCACATGTGACTGCTAATGACACCCATATATAGGCTTCACTTTTTGCTTGCATCCAAGAAAATTAAGCAAACGTTGCTTGAGTGCCAGCAGCATTCGTATGTATCTAAGCGAAATAACTTCAATTCTCTTAGGTAAAACTACTCTTATGTTCATGGTCCCATGTTTTGAACTAAAAATTCTTACTTCAGTTTATATAT